GACTGGGGTCTGGAAACCAGCCTCACGGACGTGCGCTGCAGCCGCACAGGCAGCAGGGAGGATGCCTGTGCGCGGCGCACGGAGGCAGGCTATTAGCTGCGCCGTGTCGGCGGGGAAACGTTGGAGCAACGCAGCGAAGGCATCCTGCCAGGAGGCCCAGTGAGCGGCGCCGGAAGCTGGCCCAACCCCCCCATACCGAGCGGAAACCGCGCTGTGGCGAGGGCATCCGCCGACAGCTCGGGCGCTTCCTCGTGATCATGCTCACTGGAATAGTCAGCGGTGCGATGCGGCGGAAGCATGCGGAGGAGGTAATTGGCGCGGGCCGATGCGCAGAAAAGTAGCAGCAGCCCGCCGATGGCAAGTCGCCGAAGGCGGCGGCGCTTGTCCCGCAGTTGCCGCTGCACAAAAGCCTTTTTTGAAGCCTCCGTTCCGAACGGCGCGCCGAGCACTACGAGCCCTTGCCGTTCTGCGGGCAGGGTCCACGCTCCAACCCGATGTCTGCAGCATAGCTCGGGTTTGGTTGGAGCGCGGTGAGGTTGGGCGGCTCCTCCCCTGCCGCGTTCCAAACACGGGTCTTGCCTTGGTTGAGTTGGACCCGTGCGCGGTCCCAGAGCATCGCTGAGCACTCCGCCCTCCGCTTGCAAGACCTCGTGCTCGGTCCCCGCGTCGTCCGTCCAGATGTAACTGCTCTCGCTGCCGTAAATCGTCGAAAAACTGGCAAGCAAATGGAAGGAGAGGAGCAAGCTGAGGCCGCGATCGCAACCCCTCGAGAATGGCCTGTGGGGAAACATGGTCGAACACACCGACAGCATCAAGCGACAGGACAGTGATGCGGGGTTGCACTCCGCAGCGACCTGGAGGAGCTTGTAAAGTGCCTCGGTGCCAGCGCGAGTGCTGAGGCCGAGTTGGTCACCTTGTTCACGAAGTTTCTTTTCGACACCGCTGCAAGACGTTGCAAGGCTGTTTTTTTTCGAAACGTGACGCTGCAGACGCATCTATTCGGGCAATTGTTGCACAGCGGGGTGCGTGTCGCGGTGTTGACCAGCAGTGCGCTTGTCTGGGCTGCCAAGCCTTCGGGCTGCCGGTTCGGGCTGCCGGGTCGCCTTGAACTAGGACCGCGATGACATTCTGGCCGGGCGTCTTCTTCCCAAACTGTGCATGTGCAGGGTGGACACGGCCCAAATCGGAAGACTTAGAAAGTTTTCAGAAGATGTGTGGTCACCTGCATAGCCGGCAAGAACTGTCAACACGTTGGCCACGAAGAGCAAGACTGCATGCAATATCACGCAAAAACAACACAACGGCAGCCAGGCATAGCAACAAATTGCACCTCGAGAAACACGTTGCCCTTGTGCAGCCGATGGCCGAATGTTTCTGGACAAGATATCCGAGTGAAGGAAGTCACCCTGGTTGCCGACACGATGAACAAAGCTCGAGTACGCCCAGCGATGTGGCTGTGGTTGTGAGTGTGTGGGGCATGCGGTTCATTGACCAGTGCATTTGTACTGCGAGGCGCATCATAATGTTCCATGCGTGTTGGCACATGCCGCAGGCCATGCTAGATGCCTTGATGGGCCCTGGCCGTGATCAGATTGAGAAGGACTGGTGGGTTGCAACAAGGAACTCGCAGTTTGAGCTTTAAGACGTGGTGCCAACTGCAGGATGGAAAAGCAGTCAAAGAGAAGCGCGGCTCCCAGTCCCAGGCAGGCGACAGGCTAGCAAAGTGCCCACATGCATATTTATGTATATACATATATATATATGTGTATGTGCGCGTGCCAGTTTCTGGTTCGGGTTTTGACAGCCCAGGTTCAAAGATGAGACCGTGTGCAAGTCTTTTCTTGCTGGAATGTGTCCTCTCGATTCGTCAAGATGCTTATGCGTCTTCTGCGTAGACATGGCCGCCCCCTGTGCAAGTGTTTGCTGTAAACTTGCCAGTTTGTGAGGTCACTTCTTGGCGGCAAGCGCAAGCTGCCCGTGTGTGATAAGCCATGAGCCTATCGAGAATTTTGCTTTTGGATTCCTAATGCCCCCTGCTGTTTCACTTTGTAAGGATCCACTCTGAGTTGATGAAGGCCGCCACATGCTGATTCGAGCTGTCATGTTCAGAGTGCACTTGCAGGTCGGCTCTTCAGTAGCTCTTGTAGATCTAGTTTAGCAAGCAGCGTGCTCAACAGCCGAATTGAGAGAAGACGGAATGGCTCCCCGCTCAACGTCCATACGTGTGCACGAAACCAGTGACGAACACTTTTTTCTGGTATGTCCAGGAGCAGCTAGCCAAACATCCGGATGCCGAGGCGGATCCATGACCACTTTTCATCAGCACATTTCGAGCTCTCAAACTAGAGATACGCTTGACTTATGTGGACCAACCGCTGGCCTGTTGAAACACACATGACCGGAAGTGTCGAAGAATTGTTGTTGTCTGCGCCCATGCATGACATCGTCAGCAACTCAAGCGCGAGTACGAGAAGATGTCGTTACGTGACTTTGATTTTGTCAGGCACTCGAACGCTTCACAGTAGTTAGTCCGAGCACACATCCAGCATGAACGCGCTGAGGTCATCCGTGAATGCGAGGCGCATATTGTCCGAGACTTGTTTGAGGGGTTCGGGCTGAAAGAGCCGGAGCCGCGAACGATATGTGCCAATATTGATGGTATGCTTCCGGCAAGGCGCCACAGCAAGGTGCGTAAGCATAAGATACATGCTTTGAAAAGCCAAGGCATCAGAGAATAATCGAATGCGAGAGGCTGGAGAATTGTGGAAAGCACATGTCGTGCAAGTTTTTACCAGCACTGCCAGTTCAAACCAATCGATTTCAGGACGTTCGACGAAAGAAGCCGCCTCTTCCCATCCAAGTGAATGACAGGCGCGGGACGGTTTTGATGAGACAAAGCCCGGTGCTTTTTTGCGCATATAGTGAACACAATAGCAAGAACACTGACAACAGTCATGGCACAAGTGTAGTTCTCAAATCAAGGCTGGCGCAGATGAAGCGCGAAAGCTCTGCCAGCGGCCAGGGACTGCCTGCAGGATTCAAACGTGCGGTAAGACGATTGCGTTCTCGCACAGTGCACAATGACGCGCCAAGCATTTTCATGAGGCCCTAATTCAACGTGCTGAAGCTTTAGATGACGACAAAGTCCGGGAGAAGGAAGCTCTCATACAGCAGGTGCAGATGCCAGTCGTTCGTGATGACTGATGACATCTGATGACACATGCCGCACCAATTTTGCTCGCAGCTTCGACTGTCTTATCCTGCGATCCCAGGCGAACGATGTCCTCAAAGAACGCCAGGACCACAGACGCCAACGGCTCTGGCTGCTGATAGCCGCCGTGCTTGGCATACTACTGGGTCGATGTGGTTTATTAGCCCGCAAGCCCAGAAGATAACCCAATCGTTGTGTGCCCTGCGGAATCAGCAAAATTCACATAGTTGGTGCTTACCAGGCTATAGTTCTGTAAGCTTCGTTTGGAACACGAAACGCGAGGGCACGCTAGCAATGAGCATGTGCATATGTGACCGTTTTATATGCTGCATTTGATGCACGAAACGCATCGAAACGCCAAGGTGCACCTGCGAGGGTGTCATCGCTCGTTGCAATCAGGGTTCAGGGTAGTAATGAAGTCAGAAGTCCAGGGTGTGTAACAGGCCCCCGGAGTTTGCAACGCAGGCTTTTTGACGCAACAGGGAACGTCGAACGTATGTAATAAAGAAGAGAAAAACACCGCGACATACCCCTATTCAAACCCACGGCCACGTCGCACTGATAGGTTCGAGGACATGTTGGCCTTGGCCTTGCCAAGATAGGTCCGAGGTATCGTTCGCGGTATCGTTCGGGTATCGTTCCGACAACAATACAGACCCCCCCATCCAAAACCCATTTCTTGAGGTTGCGTTTCAAAATGGCAGTTCTGTTTTATCGCTGTGCCCTGCGGGAAAGCTCCGCGAAACAGGCATTTTGTCAGCTATTCAAGCTAGCCTCACGTGGCTATCACCGAGAGGTAGCTTCAAACAAAAGTTCACGGGTGGATTCATGGCAGCGGTTTTGCTTCATCGCTGTGCCCTGCAGGAAGACTCCGCAAAACATGTGTGGTTTCATATTTTGTATCCTAGTCTCAAGATGCTATCCCCAAGAGGTAGAGAGTTTTTCCTATCATTATCGCGTGGTTTGGGCCTTGTGTGCCCTCGGGATTTCGGTTCTGGGCTATCTTCTTGACATGTTGGGCTACCTTCTGTGCCCAGGGGTTGGGCTATCTACAAGGTGATTGGGCCAAGAAACCACGCGTGCTCGTAGCATACCACATGTGTCTATTAATACTTTGCCATCTTTTGCCCCTTGCTTATTTGCAGCAGGAGCTCGCGTGAAGCCTTGAAGTCGCAAATTGTCCATCCCCGACAACCTGACGGACAGGGTTCCCACAGCCCGCTACAGCAATAGTACCGTAGAGCTTGGCTGCCCTCCCGCGTGCGATGAAGACACAGCAACCGCCGGAGAAAGCTAAGCGGGTGGCAAGTGCGCAAATCGCTCCCAAAGGCAGGCCAGATGGAGGGTGCACGGCCTTGAAGTTCCACCCGAGCGCGACCACACAGGGCAAGAGCCTGGGCTCTCCGATTGAGATATACGGATCACGGACGAGAAACACCAACAATGTGGCCTTCGATTGGAGCCCATGCTTGGAGCTGCACCGCAGACCATCCTTCACCGCCAGTACCTAAACACGAAAAAGTGCTTTGCAGCCCAGAAGAAACATACAGAGCATGACCCCAGACAAGCCGACAACAGACGCCAAGCGACCCTCATTCCTGAACTGGACATGGGCGATGTTTGGGGTTCACTAAACAACAGCAATTCCTTTTCGTCTTGCAGGCGAAGAAGTCTTAGAGGAGGAAACAAAGCGGCACGGCGGCATATCATGATAGCAGAAAAGTTTCAGCTGCTTGTTGTAGAGAGACGTTCCAGCTTAAGGAAAGCCATTGCGGCATTACCACCGCAGATGGTGTGCCAGGTTGGGCCTGTACTGTCGGCAATGCCGGGATGTGTTTGTCTTCGCGTTTTGGGAGAAATGGATCATCGCAAGCGTCTGCAGCCACTGGTTCAATTTAGCTTCGTCACCAGTTCGGATTCTAATCTAAGCGCAACGCTTCAGGGTGCCGCCTCGAAGAATGGAAATGAAGTTTGCCGCTGTCCCAAGCACAACAAAGGACCAAGTATCAGTCCAACTAACTTGTGCTTGTGCGATAGAAAGGTCCTCTGGATTTGTTCATGGCTTTTGAGTCATGGTCATGGGGCCATGGAGCTCCACAAGGTGTCAGACCAGCCTTTCGCCGTCCCCGTGACACGGCGTTCACCCGAGTGGGGCTGGTTGGAGTACTTGCTCCATGCAAGCTGCATCTCGACTTCTTATTCGCAGGCAAGGCCTCAAGGGAGGAGGCATGAAATGAGTGCCTCGAGGCAGCACCTACCGGCTACGGCTTCGCTCCGCTTGGTCAGTGGCCAACAAGCGCCTCAGCGTGGAGTTCGAGGCACGATGCAAAGGGTTCCCTGGACGAAAGTCAGTTGATGTGATTGCCATAAAGTTGAGCTTATCCCGGAAAATTCGAGAACTCAGGTTGCTGCAGCTACATGCTTGGCTACCCGTTGCCGAGATTCCCTTTGGGCAGACGGTAGAGGAGCGGACGTGTTGTTATGCCGCAACGTTCCACCACATGGGCTTGCGAGGACATCTGCCGGAATGGCTTTAAAGCTGGCCACACAGGTGCAGCCCGGCAGCACATGCATGCTTGCGTTGTGTCTGCGGGGTTGAGCCAGCCATGTGACACAGTCTTTTGGGCTTCGTGTTTGGGAGATGTTTTGAAGCATGACCGAGGTATCGTTTCATGTTGGCAACCTACAGCTTCCAAGGTCGGGGCTGCTGGCACTTGACAAAGCCACTGATTGCATACAGCATGCTCAGCATGCCACGTGCAAACCTGCAGACCTGACTTGAAGTTGACTTGAACTGGCAGTCTCTACAGTGATGGTCGCGATCGGGGCGGCAATGACCGTGGGCATGGTGTGAAGAGTCGTGGGAGGCAGAAGATGTGCCAGATGATGGTGTAAGCGTGTTGCATGATTGGCCTGGCTATTCTTTGCTTCTCGGAGTGCTGATCTATGCATACCTGCGCCTCTTCTGAAGAAACCGATACACCACCACAAACAAAATAAAGTAGTGAGTGATGAAAAGGGAAGAAAGGAAGATTTGGATTCGATGGTAGCAGGATTACGGAGTTGTATTTGGGAGGAGAGGGGCGGAGATGTTCTGGGTTGGGGGGGGTTTCTTTGCAGTGCCAGCCTGGCTATTTGTCTAATTTGCACATTTTCTGTCTTGTGCCCTCAAAAGCCGCCGTGGAAGATGTGCGGGTTCAGTTCATGCTGCGGGCATGTAAGGAAGATATGAGTATGTCACCATCTATGTGCCATCTTGATTCGAAAGGCATGTATTGCGTTCTTCGCAAATGATGTGCTCGATGCAGAAGAGGATACGCTCGCACAGACGAAAGTGGCAAACACAACAGTGCAGAGACTAACCCAACGCTCGCGCCACACAAGCTTTCACCAGACAGCTGAACCTGAGACAAAGAAAAAGCGGCAGGTAGACTTCCGACAGCAGCAGGAGCACCACGAGCACCAACTTCCAGCGAGAAAGCGCTGCACATAAGTATACCGACTCCTCTGAAATCAATCTTGAACATGACGGGCACAAAGTGCACAGTTTCTGGGAACCCGCGTCTTAATGTTCGCATTGTAAGTATTTGGGAGCACCCTTCCCCTCAACTCCAGGATTTGCTCCGACATTGGGCCAGAACAGATTTTTTTACAATTTTTTGGGGACGGAGGTCGGATTGATACACTGGGGCGTGACGGAGGGAAAGCGGCGGGCTGAACTCTGCTTGAGGAAGGAGCCAAAAAGCCATTCAGGCCCCCTTTGTTTGTTTGGTGTGTTGTTTTACACAAATGTTTGCATGAGGAATCTTTCGGCGCTGGAGGTTGGAACATCTGAGTCTGGAGTGTGGTCTGGACTGCCCAGGGAAGGAGCCAAAGAGGGCCCTAAACAATTCAGGAAAGGGACAGACACACGCAACAGTTCAGCCGGACTTTATGGTGTGATGGCACCCCTTTCATCAGAGCTACTGGAAAAACTCGGAAGGAACAGCATTTCTGGATTTGTGTTGCGCTTTAGGATGCTTTCGGCTAGCGGCGGCTAGCTTTGTAAACTAGGAACTCTGTTTCACCTTCGGAAACACAATGCCACATCACCAGAACGTCAAGGGCGGGGTGTTTGTGTGGGCTGGAAATGATGCCCAAAAAGTTTGTTTCATAAGCGATGTCCCGTACATGAGGCCGTTCTGAGCCTGAAACGTTCTTGGGCCTGCCTTCTTGTAAGCAAGGTTTTTTTAACAGCAGCCAGCTCGCTCGTGCCGCAGCAGGTTGCCTTTGTGTTTTCTTGAATCAGGATCCTTCCTCAAGCAGTCCAAACCCAGCTCCAGACTCATATTGTTGCTGCGTAGAACGCACGACAGCCTTGCATGTCACGTAGTTTCGTCCGCGTGGAACGCACGCAAAGCTCGCAAAGCACTGCACGTCACTGCGCCCTTGCACGTATGGTGTTGTACATTGCCGATCGCAAGCGCAGGTCCTTGCCTGCTGGACGCCGTTTATATGCATCTCGCAAAGCACTAGCGGTCACTAGCATGTTTTTCGCATCTACTACGAGAAGCATGTGTGCGAGCGGGTGTAGGTATGGATGTGCTTGTTTGTCCACGCTCTTTCCCTGGATGAGGAGTTTCTTTTGTGTCGCATTGGTGCTGGGCGCTCCTATCTCATTGACAACCCGTCGCACGCAGAATCTCGGAAGCACGGGCCAGAGTTTGCTACACTCATGTGGAAGGGAAGGAGTGGTGCAGTGAGCGCAGTTCTTCAAGGAGACCTTGGCTTTGCCTCCAGAGTATGACAGCTTCTTCACGCGGCACAGCCCCGCGAACGAGCAGGTAATACATGAAGAGTATCCAGGTGTACTGCCCAGACATGTTCTGCATCACGAGCGCCTCGCCTGCGTGTATCAAAGGACCTTTGATGTTCCGCAGTCCATGAGAGGGATATGAATACACCTTGCGTGTGCAGCATGCATCGAGGTACATGGTCAGAGATCCAGCACAGGTGCGCGGACTTGCTCGCAGCGGCATCATGCGGGGTTGTAGCCTCTTGGGCACAAACTTGCCAGGCCCTCCCCGTGTATTTGGTGCACTTCGAGTTCGACCCAGAGATGCCTGAGCTACTCAACCTGCCGCTCTGTGACAGCTGTGGTCTACAAGCAGCAATGGCCACTTAGCTAAACGTACTGGTACCGAATCGAAATGTCCTTTCGAAGTAGAGATGCTGAAGGGACAGGGACGAGTTAAGGTCTACTGCGAAGCTGATGATGCAATCCTGTGCAGACCTTGCGATAGCCGCGTTCACTCCGCAAACAAGCTGGCTGCACGGCACATCCGTGTTGACATCAACCGGCGTCCGAATGCACCCTTGGGGAGTTGCCCAGACCACGCGGGATCAGAAGCGGACATGTACTGCACCGATGCTTTCCTGAAGCTTGCCATGCTGTGGAAACCATGCTGGGCAACCGCTACCTACATGGCAGATGTGAGCACTCAGGAATGCAAAGTTCCAGTGTGTCAGCACTGCCGCAAGCTTGGTAGCCACAGCGCAGGATTGAGGGCCCTCATGATGTCACGACCTGTACATCATTGGAAGTTATCACCCGCAGCTGTCTCATGCACCATACCCAAGAGTGGCTCGTGATGTGACTACCCGCATGTTCTGAATTTGGGGTTTGCGTCCGATTCAATGTTCTTGTATAGGAGAAGCGAAGAAGCACCGTCTTGTCAATCTCCGGGAAGCATACCAGCATGCTCTGAAGGCAAGGGGAAGTTACCTTTGGTGGAAGTCGGAAGAGCTGTTCACAGGCTTCCCGGGTTTAGGGCTTTGATGTCCAAAGTCAGCGGAAGGCAAGCTCGGTCACCGCAAACGGCGTCCTCACGGAGCGCCAGCGTGTGGAATCCCAGCAGGCGCAAGTTTGGGGGACCCGCTGATTTCTCCCCCAACTTTTTTTGTATCTTTCCATGGCAGAGGTTGCTGAACTGGACCAGCGCCTGGTGACCGTGCAGGAGTCGACCCAAGCTCTGGAGGATGGCATTTACGATCAGGTGCAGCCTCCTGGCGATATGCCCCTGGCCACCCTGACACAGCACCTCCAAGCACCTCTGCCATGTGTCTACTGAGTCTGCTGCGAAGTCTACTGAATCAACAGAATCTGCTGTAAATCGCTGTAAGGCTTGCGGTAAAGCAGGGCCAGGCCTTGGCAGAAGAGCAGGCTTCTCTCTTCATGGCCGCGGTTCGGCTCAACACAGTGTTTGCTATGGTTCTGTTTTCTCAGTTTTCTCCACACGCTCGTCCATCTCGCAGATTGTGCGCGTTTTGAACAAGGACGAGCTGGAAGCCAAGCGCCAGCTGGACCAGGCAGCATGGATGGAATCTTGGCAACTGGATAAGTTGCGAGGGCGTTGTCGTGTGCAGCGAATGTTGTCGCATGTTGCACGCGTGGCTTTTGAGAAAGTTCCATTTTGTCTCCATCCTTGAAGACCTGCTTGTTAAGGACAACTTCTTGGAGGACCATGTCAAGAATTTGCCGCCCCCTGACTTTCTGGAAGCATGGCTGCTGCATGCCCAGGCCACTTTGTTTGTGAAAGGGTCGCCTGCACTTAACCCCACCCCTGCCAGTCACCACTGCACCTGCAACCGCACGATTTCGCTATCATGGTGAAGCTTGAACTCAGAATCTGAGTCCTTGTAATCAAGCTCACAAGACGGGCCGCTTGTTGGGACTCACGTGGGCTGCATGATACACATACGCCACGCCACCCCCCAATGACCTATCATCTTGCCGTTACGGGTGCATGCTTGGAACCGTCCCTGGTGAACATGCAGAACCCGTTTGAGGCGGAAGTTGATGTAGAGCCAACGAAGACGGGGAGTTATGAGTGACGAATGAAAACGAAGAGGCACTAACTGTCCTTCATTTCCTGCCAAAATTTCATTACTGCCAAAATGAACACTAAACTCTTACAGAGCTTTGTGCTTTCACAAGGCATGAAAGGAGTATCGTTTCACAAGAATGGAAACAGCTGCGAAGACAACATTAAAAGAAAATCAAGAGCAATTGCTTCTTTACATAAACAAGCAGAAGGCCCGACAATCAATAGGACGCGGAGCGCACCTGCGCTCTTTCCACGCTTGAGCCTGAACCCTCGTTGGCATCGCTCAATGCCTTGCTGACTTGCCAGGTTGGTCGCGGTTGGTCCATGTGCAATATGATGATGACCAATAGGAAGCGATGAAAGGCAAGTACAAAAGGACATCAGAAAGTGTTTGCTTGAATCGTGCTGTTTTGACTATGGCAGTTATGCGGATCGAAGTATTCCCTCAACCGAAGCTTCGCCTCCCGTGGGTGGGTGTGAGAGTCAAAGAGACGTAACTAGCCGGGAAACGCTGTCCTTCACTATTTTGGGCCGTTCGGTATCAAGATGGTCCATATTTCCGCGTCGATTGGCCCCACAAGCAGCTTACAAGCGGCCTTTCCGCAAATTTTCGAAGCGAAGGGTTTTCATGACTGCGGGGCTCATGTGCTTGCAAACCGTCGATGAACATTTGAAGCTTTAGTCGAGCTCAGCATGCTTAAGTTGAGATGTCAGCTTTGGCACTTTCCTTTAGTAATTTAGGTTCCGGCACTTGATTAAGCATTTGCGTCAGGAGTCGCACGTGAAGCTTGCTTGACTTGCAAACCAATGTCTTTTCGCAGAAGTCTTGCTATGTTGGTGTTGAGGGCACAGTTGGAATAGTTAGAATGGCCATGCGCTATTCATGGATGGACAGGTCAGACAGGAGGTCAACCAGCTAGGCCAGCTGCGGGAACTTTGAAAGTACCTGTCACCTGTCGAAAGTGCTAAGCCTGTGCATGTGCGATGGATCTGAAAGAGGCTGCTTTGATCACGGATGAGGCTTTGCAAGTTCATTCCCTTGCACAGGGCGGCTCACGCAGCTGCGGGGCAGTGCGACGTTGCGCTTGGAAGGGGGCCTGCGGCTCGTAGCTGACACGGCAGAGGCACAACGATCCAAGCACCTTTGGGTCGTCCATGCTGCCGTACCAGCACGGACATCACTTCCAAACTTGAAAGGCCACTTGGTCTCGTCGTGCTGGAGATGCATCAGGCAGGCTGTGGGACCGGATCAATTTCTGGGATTCTGTTGCTCACTTGAAATAGCGGCTGTGTTGTGTGATGAGGCAGTTGACTTGGCACAGGTGGTGTTTCCAGCTCTACAACAAGAGTTGCCGGATCAGGCGATGGAGCTGCAAAGACGCGGGCAAAGTTTCTGCTCGACGGCTGAGCCAGACAGTGTTTGTAAGCCAGTGTCGGCCAAAGCAACAGCACGCTGCCAAAGGCAAGCTATGTTGGCTCAGTCTCAACTCTTTCGGAGGGTTGAAACACTCCGAAAGACTGCGTTGAGCGGATTGTGCCTGCAACACAAACCATCACGAGAACGAAACGACATTTCGACTTCGACTCTGCCTTCTAGGACTGGGTGGTATGGGTAAAGCAACTCTAGTACCAGCAGTTACTAGCACCACCAGTTTTCTTCTTGGGTCTGAGGTGTGCGGCACTTCATATGAAGGGGATGCCGGGAATGCCGTGCACCAAAAGACTCTGCCTCAGCAGTGTTGCAGTGATGAGGCTTTCGTTTTAATTGCCTCAGACAAAAGTTAAAGCCAGTTCTTCTCAGGTTCAGGATACACGAGGCATACTCCATTGCTCCAAGCTCAGACCATGGTGACACATTGTGGGCTGGTGGCCATGATGGAGCTTGGTCATTTGTGCACAGACGGCACGATCATGCTGAGCTTCCAGGTTCGAAAGCGCATGGATGAGTTAAAGCCGCGTGTGGAAGAGTTTGGGCCTAAGCACAAGCAAAGTTGGAATGGGGTTGTGCCCACGGACAATGAGGTGGGATAAAGCACAGAAGGAAAAGAAGGGAGATAAGGGCGAGGAGGAGGACAGCGCGCGCTGATTCAGCTTTTGGAACAGAATGGGCTGAGAACCACTTGAAACGCGACATTTTGTGTCAGAGTTCTGTGCAGGACGGGAAGAAGAAAGAGAAACACAACGGTCGGAGTCTCAAATGCTGGCATCGGGGCGGCAGCTTCTGTTTCCTAGTCTGCTGTCCGAGCCTTCCCATGTAGGTAAATATGAAGGAAGCAAAAGCAGGGGCAGAGACAAGGACGCCACACGTCAGCATGGCCGCAGCATGGCCCGGAAATTCTGTGCCGCGCAGCGTGCAGTAGGCCGTTGGACTGGTGGCCGGATTTGTCGGATTTGGCCTGTCGAAGCAGTAGACTCAACACATGTCACAGAAGCGTGGAGAAGCGACACGGCTAACAATACAAGATTCAAAAAGCACATCACGAAAAAGCACGTTACAAGCCCCGAAGTCACGGGACAACAAGTGGATAGCTTGCAGTATCCTGCAGTGCTCGTAAATTCTTCCAACCGGCGGAGCAGCCGCCCTTCATGCCCAAGTTCATCCCGTCAGTGCCCATGGCTAAGTGGCACGGCCGGTATGGCGACGGAGCGGCATCTGCAGGCCTCGACTTGATACTGACACCCTGCCTTGAGCTGATCTGCTCCCATACTGAGGACCGATCCTGTCCGGTCTTTTCGATGCAAGCTTTACCAGACATCGCCAAAGACTGCCAATGTCACGACAGCATGCCCTACTGCTTCCAGGAGCGTCCCAGGGGTTGGGTAGTGTAGGCCAGTGTAGGCATTGTTGGCACGCCATCGGATACAGGGACAGCCCGGTGTGGGCACATCTTCTTAGGGCGAGTCAAGATCGGATTTCTTGCTGCGTTAGTTCTGCCATCATCTGCCGCCAACATTGGAGGACGGGCGCCAGATGTGTTATCGCTCTGACGGCAGACTAGATCTGCATTATTTCGCGGTGCCTTGGCGTTCTGGTTGTCTCATTTGTAAGCGGTGTTGTGAGTCTCCTCCATGGCCAGCGAAGGTCAACTGCGAGTCTTGCATATGCGAACCGTCCCAAGATGCGGGAAGCGGAAGCACCTCTTTTGCCGGCGGCTGGGCTGGCAGCTATTATTGATTGCTGCTGTTCTGACCTTTGTGTCTCACTCCTTTTGCCATGACTTGTGAGGCCCTTCTGATATCACCTGCTCGACAGCAGATGGCGCGCAAGACGTGGTTCTTGCACCCGACGCTTCAGGCACAGTGAGTGACCGCGACTGCGTCTTAGCAATCTCAAACGGACGATTTCCTTGAGGCAATTGTTTTTGCCCGGACGAGCGGCCACAGTGCGTGGTCTTGCCGGGTGAGGAGCCAGGCTGCCTGACAGGCACGGGGGGGCATTGGCCAGACATGTCATGCACTCCAAGGCATCATTATGAGCAGCCGGCACCGGTAGCAGGTGAGGCGCAGCCCTCGTCCACTTTAGCATCAGCTTTCCGAGCAGGCGTGTGCTGTCCGATGTTTGAGACAGCTGATCACTCAAGAGATTTCTGATCAGATTTTCTGCAATGCTGCATCTGGGCTGGGTGTCTCACTCAGTACATACGCCTCAGGACCCCCGACTCTAGCTCCCTCGCGCTCTCTGTCCCTCTCTCCCTCTCTTTTCTTCTCTCCTCTCTGTCTCTCTTCCCCCTTTTGTGTGTGTGTGTGGCGGGATACGATTGCAGGTTGCGCAGCTGACAGCTGCTCGTGTCGTGCGTCATGCCCCTCCTTCGCGCGGCGGAGCTTTGCTGATAGGATTGGAGACTGCCATTGCCCTGTGGATGCGCCTTTGTGCTTTCCGGCTGGCATTACCTTCCGGGACTGCCTTTGTGGGTCATTTTAGTCTTTGTCGAGGAGATTCTAAGTACCCTTCGACTTGCTTCAGAATTTCGGTTCTGAATCCTGGACGGGGTCCTACCTGCAGGGTTTACAAGTTGTTTCAGTACATGTCTTAGTCAGATGCAAATCTCAGGCTATCAAGATGGCACAGCTGGTTGTCTTTCTTCCACCGGTGTGACCTCACGGACCTACTTCTCAAGCAGCTGCGGTGCATCTTGGGGTGTGGCATGTTTCAGCGCTGCCTGGATTTTGCATGCACGGAATACGTTCGCACAATGCCCCCGGCGGCCCTGACGCCAGCACCGCCCCAGCGCGTTGGCGCAAGTCAAAAAAAACAAGGCTTGCGGTCCCATACAGAAGCAACAAGACAAACAAACATGAGGAAGCCCGTGGCGTAGATTTCAAAAATCGACTTTTTTGCTTTTATCACAATGTGGGCTTCGAAAGCATCCCAGGATCCTCTAGTGAGCCCCGAAAAATCTTTGAACAGGTGCTCGGTGCGAGTGTGTGGAGCAACTCGAGGGCCAGTGCGACCCCAGGACCAGCCAAAGCCCTAAACCTATCAAAAGCCAGAAAAGACGACTCAACCAGAGCTTGCAGGAGCTGTTTGGAGACGGCCGACTGCATCTTCTCGACTTGCAGAGATTGCGATGTCTGCAAAGGGATCACCAGGTGAGAAAACAGAGTTTGCTGAGCAATAGGAAACAGAGGCATGTCTCGTAGCCTGGTTCATGTCTCACAAAGGTGCCCGACATCCCCTGGCGACAACAGCATCACCTTGCCAGACTGGAGTGGCAACTGCAAGTGCAAGGACCAGCAGGCGCACGGGAGATCTTGGCATCTTATGTGCAACGTAAAACCCCCCAAGGCTCGGGCCATGCTCGTGAATGCACTCCTTTGTTTTGGAGTGCCCCTTGCAGGTGTGCTACGAAGGTGGCAGCATCACACCCGGATGCCCCGTTGCCCCAGCTGGGCGCTCGCAGTTTTTGTTCCAGATCAGCTGCCTTGATTGCACGTTGGCTTAATACGGAGCCCACACTTGTTGTTGAAGAAAGCTTTCTTGCTTCACCACAACGAACTAGAACTCCCCCAGCCCAGGTATCTGTGACAAGCTGACATCTTCGGCTGGCACGGGCAACGTCAAATGCCCCAAGTTTGCACGTGATAACCTGCCTGGCTGGTCTGGTGACTGCGTATGCCCAGACGATATGCCTGATTGCTCCTTGGTATTTCTTAGTTGTGCCAAGCGGCTGGAATCCATATTGACTGGGGCAGCTACTCAAGCCTTTGGACATCTTTGGACACCCGTTTTCCGTCCTTCTTTCTTCAGGGAAGTGAGCATGTTAAGAAAAGGTGGGCGAGTTGGGCACTAGGAGTAGCTCCGAAAGTAAAGATGATCTAAAGACTCCGTCTGCGGTCTGCGGTTGTCTTTACTTGTACCAAGAAATTAAAACGAGGCGAGCTTGAAGGTTGTCTTGTGGGTTTACATGGGTCAGTGACATGAGGCGAGAGGCTTCCCTCTTTTGGCACTATGATTGCCCGTTACGGCTCTTAAAGCTGCTTGCTGCCTTAACTTTTGTCATCCCCGTGTGCTTCCATTGCTGCGCTTGAGTATGCTGCAGAACTTTTTTCTACAGCCTTCGGCATGGAAGGTTACAAAGATGGCGTCCGGTGGTGCTTCAGGCACTTGAGGGCCATACAACGCACAGAACAAGTGCCCGTGTGCTGTGAAGTGGAGCAGGACAGACGGCCAACGTGATCTCCACTACTTCGATCCGGGCTGCCTTGACTGTGAATGCCGCGCAGCCTTAATTGTGAACGGCACGGCCGAGCAGGCCCCAACAAATGCAAATGCTTGTCTAGTCTTGTCTGCTCTCTGATTCCGTTGCCTTCGCCACATCTCCAGGGTTCAACGTGCCCGCAGGTCAAACCATGCCCAGACTTCGCCAAGTTCAGCTCTTCAAATGCGCGACTCGGCCTTTACGTTTGCAATCCCAAGCTTCTAGGGCTTGATTCGCGGCTTGATCTTAAAGACATGTTTGCCAAGTGACCGCATGGACGTTGCCATCAACCTTTAACCCACAGTACGTGGGGCGAAAACAAGTAAGGGTTGAAACGGCACCCAGATCTGCCAAATTGGCTTGTCTAGGAAGACTGTAGTCCTCAGATCTTCGGCTACGTTCTAACTCCTCGAGCTCTTTGCTTTGTATTCAAATACGCGCACCGCAAGATCGTGAGACGTGAATGGTCATTGGCCGGCTCAGGTTCCAAAATTGCGTATGTCCAGATGATCGCCCCCTGTGCGTCCAGTCAGATGGCACAGCGGCAGAAGGACGAGTTGGGCCATATTGCCAAGCTGCGCAGGCAAGCCATCCCAAAAATCACATCTGCTCTGAATCTCCTGACGCAATCTGCCACTTAACTCCTTGACTGCCTCACTTGGCATCCTGATTGGCCAAGGGCTGGGACTCCTCCACCGAGTTCCGCCATGACTGTACTACATGTTCTTGTGCGGTGGGAGCTGGAGAAGGCTCTAATCTGCGCGATTTCACTGCAGAGGCCAGCAATGAGGTGATCGCGCGCATGTCTTGCCGCCTCAGGGGCTCATCATGAAGTTGTGTTTATTTGTCGCTTGAGGAGCAACTCACGGCAGAGGGTGTCACCTACATCCGCTTGGATTTGGTCCTCGACATCCGCCTCGCACACCTCCCAGTTCATCTGAGTTCCGTTTAAAAATCACAGGGACCCAATAAGCAAACAGCGCGGTGCGGCTCTGGTGCAGGTCAACACATTCAATTCGCTGAGCCAGTGGAGCTTGGTTGTTGATGGGGTGTTGCTGACGGATGCAGCAAGGCTCCAAGCATTGCTTTGTTGACAGAGACAGGGCTGGTTGCCGCCGAGTATTCTCGAGCAATATCGAGCATTTCCCCCCAATGTGTGTGGTGCAGGCAAGCAGTGGCTGCATCCGCCGCTCATGGCCTTGCCCGTCCTGGGGCGCCAGCCGTAGGTACCCGCACTGATTGCACATGATATCATGACACTTCATGCGCTCCATAGCCATGCGCGCAGGGCTGGTTCACATTCGGCTAGGTATCTGCGAGAGCTTGACCGACGTGCAGGGCAGGACCGGGTGAACACACGCGACACACGCATGTCTTTGAAGCACACTGCTGGCCCAGTGCCCCCTGGCACAAGCCCTGGGCAGGACAATTGATGGTGGAGACTTTGAAGATGTGCGGGTGCAGCGTTTGTATGCTGAACTTGGTGTTATGTGGGCGAAAACCGCGGAGATTATCAATGGAACAGGCACCTCCCATGTCCAGCTGGAGAATTTTATCTTCGAGCTATGCTTCAGTGTGCTGTTGATCGATGTTAGCTTGGCAGGCCGTCGGTTGGGTGATGACCGAACATCTGCCGGCGCGCCCAGTCAAATCACGGCAGGTGCAGGATGGTTCAGGGATATTGCTGCTGGGCGCCTTGGTTCTGTTCGGCATTTCGCGGCCTTCCAAGCTCGGTCAACCATTCAGGCCTTACGCGCATTGCAGACGCTGGGAGCCAAATCGCTGGGTGAGCTGACCGTGCACGAACTCGAGATGTTGCTGTGGCTTTGTGGCAGGCAGTCAGTTTCCACTCCATTTCTCATGTCTGTAATGCCGCTCCGGGGAAGGAGGGCCGGTAGTTGACCTTTTGGGGGCTCATCCCGCCCGATATTATTTACAAGGCCCGAAAAACTTGCCTGTCCAGCGGGGATCTTTGGTCACCCTCAGCATGCCCGAAGCAATCGATTGAGTTTAAGGAGAGTGCCCCCACGGAAGCGGGTGCAAACATTGCTAACGCACGTCCTCAGAAGGTGGTAGAGCTTGAGTTTAAGGAGCTTGCGCACGGCTTTCCGTCCTGCACGCTTCAAGCAGCAGCTGGATATCGAGCTTCAGCGCCTGTTGAATGACACCATCACCTGGCACCCAACTCCAGGTGCACTCCGTTCATCTCTGTTGGCATGTAGTGTTTGTAAACTTTGTAAGCTTTCTCGGATGCACAGAAGTCCTGGCAGGCCTCGTTCAGGCACCACGATTGTCTGTGAGCAGGGCATCCCCAGTGGCATCGTCGGACTTGTCGGGGTATGCACCGCTTTCAGTTCTGGGGCCCTTGGCGCCAGAGGCTCCAAGCAGACGGAATCTCAAGGCTCTGACTTGCTTTGGTCTTGGTGTAACTTGGTGTAGAGTGTAGAGTGCAGCAGAAAACGAAATGCAACTTGAAGGCGTAGCCACGCATGGCAGTGTCTCAGGCGCCTGTGGACGTCGTGGAAACTACAGCTCAGCCCGACACGGAGGGGGCAACTGATGCCTCCGAGCTGGACTTGCTGACACTTCTCCCCGCTGGCATTGCAATCGTGTCATCGCTACTTGGCGTCCTCCTTTTGTACTGCGTCGTCAGGTGGGTTCGTCGTTGTCTTCGTCGGCGTCGTGAAAGGCGTGCCGAGGATGCGAAAGGCTCGCCAAGGTCACCAAGAGGGTCCCCGCGGTCGCCACGTTCACCACGGCACCCCAGCTCTCCAAGACATGGAACGGCTGATGTAACTGCGAGCTCCAGCATGGGCACCGCAAAGGTGAAGCGCACGGGGACAGCCACAACAGATTTACGCCAAGGGACAAGTTCCGTCTTTGACACCTTCAACAAACCGATACAGAAAGATGTCGGGATGACCCTGGCTGAACGGCAGAGGACCGGGCAGAAAACAATAAGTGCAGATGCACAGACTTCGATTGGCATCGCTCTCGAGGCAGATGGTGACGATGGCAGCCCAAGGCAGAAGAAGGGGGGCTTGATGGGACGATTTCGCCGGGGAAAAGACAAGGGCGACAGGGGCGACAAGGGCTCAAGTCCAAATCAGTCCCCGCGAAGTGGCTCTCCGAGGTCTCCCCGGTCTCCCCAGTGATGTGCGCAGAAGGCTTTGGTGATAGCGCATTGGCAGCAAGCTCGATTTAGTCGAGTTTATGTGTCAAAGCTGAGTAGATAGGTAAGACTTGTTAAACAAGTCCAATTTGCGCAAAGCAGCCAGCCAATGCAGCTGAGAAAAACTGCACACCCCACAGCGTACACACGTGTACACAAAAGTTGTGGCTGGGTTGCTGCCGAAATCAACTCAAAAGCGATTCATCCCATGTTTTTTCATCCGGTGGATTTGTCGCAGGATCGGGAAAAGGATCGCTCCAGGCACAAAGAGAGCAGAAGCATGGCACTTACTATTCGTTCTGGGCACCCATCTGTTGCCTCTCTTATCCTCTCTTCATGTTGGCAGAATTTGGCAGACATCGCGTCAAGGGATTTTGGGCCAACCGCTGGCGTTCTCAGGCCGCTCACGACATCGAGACACTAGCCGAAGGCAGCTTATCATTTCCAGTTCCATTGCCGGCAGAATCAACTTGACTGCAGCGCGCTCCAAGCTTGAGAGCGCCTGTCATGCAAGGAGGCGTCGTGAGAGCAAGAGTTTTAGCAGGGGCTTGGCTCTGAGATCTCTCTTGCTGTAAGAGCACAACTCAGTGCGGATAATGGCTGGCCAAGATGGTATTCTGCTGCATTTGTTCATCGGCTAGCATTCTGCCTGCGGATTTCGGATCTCAGCTGCGAACTCTTCTTCTTGTCGCATGGCATACCTTGGCCTGTGCAGACACTTCAGTTGTCGGGGGCTTGTCGTTTCACTGTTGGCACGTCAGCAACCATTCGCTCCCTGCTGATGGCATCGTCTCAGGCTGGGGGCTCTTTGGTGCAGAGCCACCCAAAAGAAGCCCAGCGTGGAGACCCTGGAACATCGAGTGTTGGCTGTCCCTGTCATCCTGTCATCCTGCCAAGTTCTGTTATGTCCTCCAGAATGGAGGATGTCCTCGCCCAGCTCGGCGTTGATCTTCTTGCATGGCAGCGGGGACACTGGCGAGGGTGTTCAGGCGGGAGTAGCTTCGGGAAAATACATTACATGCACGGATACGCCACTCGGAATAACCTGGTTTTGGTAGCCTGATGAGGTGGCTGTGCCAGCATATCTGCACTATTGATGGCTGTTGTTCGTACTCGTCGAAAATCCTGGCTCTTGAAGCGGCTCTTGGCCTGTAGCGTGATGGGCATGGGGGGTCACCTTTCACCACTTGGCACCAAGAGCCTCGTCTGTGTTGTGCTAGTGTGAGAGTCGAAATGGGTTGTCGGCAGGCTTGGTTGCATGCTGTGAGCGACGGAGCTTTCGAGCCTGATCCTAAGCATTATTTGGCCGGCGCGGTTTTTGCTGGCTTTCCTGCTCTCTGCGCTTCCAGGGCAAGTCTTGCGCGAGATGGCATCATCTTGCAGTTTCCAACGGCCCCCAGGATACCTTACAGACACTTGGGCTGCATCGTGTGCCCTTTAGGGCATGGGCAGAAATCTTGGGAATTGAGAACAATCTTCCCTGTTGCACCTCAGGCCTTATAGGCGGAGCACCGCAGACGGTGTGGTTTCGGACACAGATGCTGACAGCCACTGCTTCTTCTACTGAGCAGAGACCAGGAGACAAGCGACCCTGAGCCATCAGGTTTGATCGCGTGGCTATGGCGTATGAAGCGCCAGAGGATGTGCCGGGCCTGAAGAGGCACGCCGCTGGAAGAGCACCGGAGCACAAATGTGTTAACAAAAAGAGAGAGGAGCAGAGGGCAGACGGGGGGGGGTGAAGCACGAGCCTCAACTTTTTGCATTTCCGACGACTTCTTGCCCTGATTGATGTCGGGACCTCACAAAAAGGTCTGTTTAATGCGTGATAGACTGTTGTCGAAATCCTGGGAAAGCGCGAAAAGCGATGGGGCCGGGGTCCACCTGTCTATCCGTGGAAGAGAGCTTGGCATCTGCCATGAGTTCACAAAACCCTCTCCCATTCGCACGCCGCACACCCCAACGCTTTGTTTTACTATTGTTACCGGGAAAGAATCAGCGCCATGACTTCCATGTCGGACTCTGTGACTTGTATGGCGGTACAGACAACTTACTGCATCAAACTCCAGGTGGGTGGGTCATTCACAAACGAGGCACATAGCAGCGCAATACGGCTCAGACGCTGCTCCGAAGCAAGAATGCCCTTCGAACCAAGCAAGCCAACCTTACGGAGTGAGAGCCGATGCAGAGGGACATCGATCGAGAAAAGCAAACTTGAGGCGCAGAGCTAGAAACCTGAGATTAACCCTCAGTCTAAGGATGCTTTAGCTCAACCAACTCTTTGCGACTTTGTTGCGGATGTTGCGGTACTTTTGGAAGTGTGCTGCCAGTAACGGAGTGCCAGGTCAGTGGAGCTTGTAGACAAAGAAATCGTGACTTGTCGGCTAATCAAGCAAGATGATAGATCTGATAGGTCGATTCGTGAATCTTCGTTTCAATCCGTTCACGGCTTGCCAAGGACAAGCTCGTGCACTCGGGCATTCCGATCTCGAAGATAGGCCTGCTGCTATCGTCTGGTGCATCGGACTGAGCTTGTAGTGTAAGCAAAGCAAGTAAATCCCAGCAGGCGTCGGGGGCATGTCCATGGGCGGCTGCCTGGTGGAGCGCTTACCACACTGTAGCCGCACTGGGATCTTACATTCTCCATCTCTCAACATGCGCCCCTGCCCAGGCATTGCATGTGGCTTATGGCATGGGGCGATATGCTGGCAGGTCCTACAATCGAACCAAGAATATAAACATATATGAAGACGTAACCCTCTTGCCTTCTCATTCCTTGAGAGGCTTGGTATGGCCGCTAGCTTGAGCACCTTCTTACCCAAAGAGAGCTGCCGGGTGCACAGCCGCAAGGGTAGCCACTGCAACGCCGTATATTCTCGCATGTACAACATGGTTCAGCCATGTTCAGCCATCAGGTCTGGATGCGGATGCGACTCGTCGCTTCACCGCTTCCTCGTCCCCGCCGCTTTTCATGGCACACGGCGCCTTGCTCGGAAGTAACATGATGGGGCATTTCGCTGTAAACTTCCCAAGTGAGGCCAAAACGATGGCATGAGCCTTACGCGTGCATCTGTCGAGATGTGCCACAGGGCACCGTGACGCAGGCATTGGGCATGTCAGTACCGCTTTTCGGGCTGTGGCCAGGCATGATCCGCCTGGAGTGGGCGCGTGCCACACACGGTCGTCTTCTTGCTGCAGGCATTGCGGGCAAGGACACTGCAGAATTCAGATGCCCTGGTTTTGCAGCGCAGCTTTGCTTGGCATCCCTGCTCTATAGAGGTCAGTGAAAAAAAGGCAAAGGGAAGCTGTGGCAACTCTACCCCAAAATGATGTACACTCAACGTAGACAACAACATCTTGGCGATGCAAGGAGAAGGGCATGAATCCGGCGATGTGAAGATGCGGGTATTGAATTCGGGGACCGGGGGAGTGGGGGAATGTAACCCTTGCCCACAGGGAGGGTTGTTCAAAGTTAGGGCCCCCTTAGAGCCTTGTCAGCTCCTAATACAAAGGAGCTTTCAAAACGAACCCTAATCCTACTGGGGTGGTGCAGGAGCTACTCGAGTTTCCGGGCGTCCAGCATGAGTTGTGTCCTGAAGAGGCTACCCTCGATTGCTCCGGTGTGCAGATTGTGGAACCCTTGCCACAATGATCGTTGTTGGACAGGTCGCGCTGCTGCGAAGCTTCGCGCTGCAGCACTTAGGGAAGGGGGCATGAGAGCACTGAGAGTTGCACTGTTAGCGTGCAACTGTCCTTCTCTTGGTGACGTAAAGATGGAAAAGTATATAAGCGAGTGCAACAAGAAATGGACAAATAGTGCAACTGATTTAACCTAGCCTGTGTAGTGTAGCGACGATCATGTAGCAAGATGCTGCATGACCATCTCTTGTCTGCAAGCTGCGGCACAGGAAAAACAGGGTGTCAGATATTCGTTCGTCAAGTGCAATGCTTTCCGTTCTGAGCCATGGCAATGGATAGCTGAGGTCGGCGACGACGGAGGTAGTCGAACATCTCGTGTCCGATGTGTGCTGGCATGCTGCATCCCCAGAGCGTGTTATCCTGCATCAGCATGGACGCACCTGTTGATGCCGGAGCTCGTCCCGCAGGCCTGGCACTGCCTTCATCTGACCGGTTCACTGAGCCAGCTTTGCAAGCCCACATCTTGTAGCAAGAGCCTGCAGGAGCTTGCCACCGGGCGAGAAATAGGTTCCACTTCTAACCTACTCTCTGACCTGGAGTCAACGCTGTGCAAGCTGTTCGAACTTGCATCTTTGGGCAGTTTGGGCATTGCCCTCAAAGACTTACGTAGTTGAGGCGACAGCTGGGAGCGCAAAAAATGGTATGCCACGCAGCACACACAGGTGGGATCATCACGACCACCCAAGCTACAAATCTTCCCCCTTAAAAAGTTGGAAGGTCCATATGAAGAAACTGAAAGGCTTGGTGAGCTCCAAGCATTGATTGCGCCGTGCTCCCTTTACCCGTGCTCCTTGATTACCCTGATGCTACTTGAGACCCCATTCACAGGGGTTGACACGCACCCAAATCAGTCAGTGAAACAAAGCTCCACGGCGGAAGAAGAAGTGGAAAGATAGAGGGCAAGAGACGGTACTCCTTCAACAAGCGCCGCAGCTCTGCACTAAGTGCCTGTGCATCCTTCCTGCCTTGAAGCTTATGGACTGCAGCGTCAGAGCGGTGAACCATTGCATCATCAAAAAAGCCTGCGCGGACCGGCTCAGTGTCACGAAATAGTCAGTGTCGACGTGAGTTGCCAGTATTCCAGCCAACTCTTCTCACCGCGCAAGAGCCACCGTATCGATGATGTTCCTCTCAGTCAGACGCACTCCGACCTCAAGATTGCATGCCGCGGTTGCCACCTGGATATGTCGCCATGGCCAGTTGACTGCGGCATCTGGGGCCATGTCGCTGCTGAAAGCACTGCAGACGGTGCAGAAGGCCACCGCAAAGCCAGGCATCCAGGCAAGCCTTGGCTACTGTAGCCTGCGGACTGTGGTGATCTCTGTTTTTGCAAATGCGGTGACCGCATAAGACTCATCAAGATGGAGCTAGGTCGCATTCTGTGACACTTGAGGGTCCTACAGACATTCCACTTAGGTACCCTCTGCCAGCATTACTTGCAAGCGTATGCAGAGCACAAGGGGCCGCTCAGCAAGACATTGAGCCTTCAAAAGCATCTTGGCTTCTAGTTGGACACGCTGGACATGTTGGACACGTGCAACAGCGCTTCAAGGACCCCATCCTTCAGTGATATTGCCGTCGTTCTGGACCACTTGCGAAAGGTGGGGGTGTCAGTGGTCTTGGCGGAATTGCGATGTTTTCGACCTACCTTCTCGCAAGTTCATGTGAAGCGATGGTACTTTGTCATCTGGAAGACTCTCACGTTGCCTTCGCTGACCGAGTTTGAGCAGCCGTGCGCCGAATAACCACCATGGCCTTGGCTCTCATCGGTCGTCAAAACCGAACAGTGGGCAGGTCTCTTGACAATGTGCTCAGGGCTCCCGTGCTGGACCACCACAGACCACCCACACCTCCTTTTTCAACTGAGCATTCCGGTTTCAGCATCCGAAGCCGACCATAAGGGGATCATGTTCATAACTATTCCGAATCCGACGGGCAAGACTTACACACCCAGACCACGTGATCAAATGTGGCATGGCCCGGCAGAAAGAGCGGCACGACACGTTTCTCGTCCCACCATTCCGGAAGCCAGGCCCTGCCACGTAGTGCCAACATGCCCACCGCATGCCTATCATCCGCCCCAGTCGGCAGTTCCGGATCCGAGCGATCTTGCTTTCGCTCGCTCTTGCTGTGCGCAGCTTCCTGCATGACACATGGCCGATCTCTGCCGCCTTTGTGCACAGCATGCATCTCAGCATTCAAGTGCTACAAAAATTCGGGAAATGCCGAGCAATCCGATGATGGCTCCGCAGCTATCCAGCCTACTTTGTTGTGACTTGACTATAGCACATGCTGGCGCCAGGATCGGTCGCAGATCGCGCAGAAGAGGAAGCCACCGTCACAGCAGCTGCTGCGCGGCTGGCTGACGGAGTGCAAAAAGCACGAAGGCAGCATAGCAATTCTCGGCACATCATGACACTGATGATGTCACACGAAAAGGCCCCAAGGCAGTCCAAGGCGTGCAAGTCACGGCTGAAGGCGTAAATCGGATGAACTAGCACTAGAGCGGAACAGTTTGTGTGTGTGTGTGTGTGTGTGTGTGTTTTTTTGCCTCTCTGTCTGTCTGCCCGTCTGTGCCGCTGGCGTCGGTCAGGTCTAGGGCATGAACTGCAGAAGAAGTTTCGCACGAATCGTGGTGCACAATGGCTCTGCAAGCAGGTTACGCGAAGCTTCGGGACCACATTTTTGAGCAGCAGGAGAAGCTGTCAAGCACTTCTCCACTGGAACTCACGCGAATCTACAACAACATGCGAAGGCCTGTGTGGTGCGAAGGGCTGCCGCTTGAGGGTGAAGCCCTGGCTCCCCTAGCTCCCCTAGCTCCATTCGGCAAGGATAACCTTGCATGACGATGCAGAGCGCTTGTGGCCATTCATTGAGAAACAAACCGTCAAAGGCCGGGCATTTGTCACTCGACTTGCATGCTTCCAGCATGCTTCCAGCATGCTTCCAGCATGCTAGCCGCAAGGCAAGATGGACGTGCCCGATCTCCTTCGCGTTTGGAGCGCGGTGCCACGGGACAAGCTGCTTGCCCTCGACCCCAAGCTGGCCAAGGTGCTTGCAGTGCTTGCACTGAAGCGTGCAGTGGTAACTGTGGTGGCCGCAGATATTCAGGCCTTGCGGTCTGCTCCAGCTGTGAGCGAAATGCGGCTGCTGAGCGCATTTCTGCAGCAATATGGATCTGCTCTGCGTGTGTGTGTGTGTGTGTGTGTGTGTGTGTGTGTGTGTGTGTGTGTGTGTGTGTCTGTGTCTGTGTCTGTGTCTGTGTCTGTGTCTGTGTCTGTGTCTGTGTCTGTGTCTGTGTCTGTGTCTGTGTCTGTGTGTGTGTGTGTGTGTGTGTTTTGCTTTTGGTGCTTCGGCGTAGTTTGTCAGCATCTCATCTGGTCGCAGCTACTTCGCCCAGGCTCTATCTCGCACAGAGGAGCTGGCATCAAGCTCCCAGGTGCTGCAGATCTCCGCAAGACTCGTGGGCCGGCAGCTGGAGGCCGGACATGGCCGAACTTGTGAATCTGCGCATTTTTAGGGATGCAGTAGTACTGACCGAAGAATGCACTTCTTAGCAGCTGTCAAAGTTCTAGCCATGAAGTGGATGCAACGTCTTTTTTGGGCCAGGACTTCACTTCGGAAAGCTTGGCAGCAGTTCTTCCGCTCCTTCACAAAGCTTATCAGAAGGCTTCGGCTTGCAGAGCATTTGCAGCTTGGTTTGAGATGCACCCTTTTGGTCACCAGGGCTCTCAACTGGACCCAACGATCTTGACGCGAATCAAGCAAGAGCTGGTCAAGCGAGGCGGTCTGTAGAAGATATGGATGCGCTGTGACAATTGACTTAACAGGGACGTTCTCCCTTCTCGCCTTCTCAGAGAGCTTGGCCGCAAGGCCTCGAATTCTTTGCATCATCGATTGCATTTGGCAGGTGGAACCTTGGAGATGCGCACGATATGTGCCCTCTTGCCCGTCATGGATACAGTGCACGACGAGCTGTGGAAATTCCTGAGGCCGGGAGAGCGGGAGCGTGGATGTGCATGGAATCCAGGAAGCCCCCCCCCAAAGAAGTAGGGAAGACAAGACATCGCGAAAAAGCAGCGGGGGCAACCGGACCGTCTGCAGGAAGCAGCTGTTGGACTCGAAAGCCAAAGATCTGCAGTGCTGGACCTAGGGAAGCCGTCTCACCCGCAAGCTTCTTTTTTTGCCAAACGGGGACACTTAGGTTGCAGAACATCCTGAACGTTTTGGAATTTCTTCATCGTGCTGCAGATCACAAGCAAGGCCGAAGAGTTGGAAGGTGTTTTTCAGTGAATAGGCTACTTACTGTAACTTACTGTAGCCGCAGCTGTGCAATCTGCCAGGTGACAAGGAGCTCTCTGGCAGGCTGATGAAGAGGCTGAAGTCGATTCTGTCGACCGGCTTCCCCGACCCAATGGAAGTGGCCACCGCTACCAGGCGAAGGGCTCAACGAGCACAAAGCTGTGCTGCCATGCTCCATGCGTAATGAAAAAAACTTTAAGCCGACAATGCTTGAGCAACCTTGTTTACATGAGCACGCCTGTGAACTGAGACGAAGCTGCACATTCTACGAGTCTAGGCAAGTGCCGTGCACCATAGACGTTCCGCAGTCTGGGTCTCTAAGGAGCCTGGAGGCCCTTTCCGGTGACGGTTGCATGGCCGTGCTGAACGCTGGCATCAACCTGCGGCAGGCCAAGTTAGAGTAGCACTGCTAGTGAGGAAATATGACATTTGTAACTTGCCTTCGTTTCACGTTGACACCCCCTGAGGACCTGTATCCCACCGTGCTGTGGCGCTTATTCGTCCGTGCAGGCTCCTTGGATGAGTATGTGGCAGGTACAACACCTTTTGCAAGACATTGTGCACGAAATAGTTTCCTTAGTTTCCAGTGCCAGACGGCCAGACCACCAGCGGCCCTATACGAGGGATGTGTGTGTGTGTGTGTTTGTCAGATGTTTGCTTGCTTGTCTGTTTGTCAGATGTTTGTTTGTTTGTTGGTTGGTGTGTGTGTGTGTGTGGGTTGGTTGGTGTGTGTGGGTTGGTTGGTGTGTGTGGGTTGGTTGGTGTGTGTGTGGGTTGGTTGGTGTGTGGGTGTTGGTTGGTGTGTGGGTGTGTGCTGGTTGGTTGGTTGGTTGCCTGTCGTGACACCGCTGAGTCTGCATGCAGTCGTGGACGTAGTTGTGCTTAAGCTGTCGTCTTCTGAACTATGCTCCCTGCAGTGCGGTTCGGGCAGATGGCACAAAAGCATCAGATGCATAAACGGGAACTTGCAATCTGAAGGTGAGCTTGGCCTTCGTGAGCGCCACCCAATGCTCCAACCGCGCTTTGAGCGGATTGGTAACGTGGCAGTACTTCCGATAGACATGATCGCAGATGGTCGCCATCTCGCATCCACCACTCCCACGGCTTTTGAGCACTGCGACAGGGGCCCCAAGTCCGTACAAGCCGAAAGCTACATGCAGCTACATCTTTGCATCTTTACCGTTAGACTTCCCAGACATCCAAGGTGAGATATTGGAGTCACACGGCGTCCAGAAGGAAAGGATGTCCACGAATGAGATGCTGACGGCGGCACGTGCAATGCGGGCAAACAAAGTGAAGATGCCCATCTCGCTCCGGCAGATGTCGGAGCATTTCCTAGATGTGCTTCAGAAGGCTGAAGTGCATGCCACGGACGACGAGGCCACGCCGATCCAAGGAAAAGAGAGGCATGAAAGCGAGGATGCGGTGGCTGCTACTGGCACCCATGGAGAGCCTGAGGTGCGGGCAGAAGTCCTCATAAGCCCTTAGGTCCTTTAGGTAAACTGGGGCCATCTCACAGGCCATCCGAGGCCTGTGGTTTCGTTCTGGTTCCACATTTTCGCGAGGAAGCCCTGGAGCCTGCGGACTTGAGGATGCCAACTCCGGAAGAACTCCTGGCCAAGGCGCCCACGTTGGAATCCCAAGTAAAGTGGTCACTTGCAGTTGACATGACACCGCCAGGCACAGCGAGCTGTACTGCTTCTTCTCACCGAGATTCAGCGCCAGGGCGCTGCTGCAGAGCTAAAGCCGGAGCTAAAGCAGGCAGCAGTCAAGATCTGCGAAGCTGGCAGCCTCCAAGCCAGGCAGTGCAGTTTGCAGTTCACTTTCTTAGCGCGCTGTGGGGGATTCGGGGGGTCGGGCGTGCACTCGCGCGCTGCCTTTCATGCTGCCCCTACCCGGGCCCTTCGCACTCCCTTGCTTTCCATGTGGACCCGTGCTTTGGCCCTTCAGGGCAATCACAGAATGCTATGCCGAGCTCGCAGTGTCTTGACAAATATGTCGCGCTCGCCACGAAACTTGCAGTGGGTTTGGCCGTGATTTTCACAATGAAAATGTTGCCACCAAGGCTATGGAGGATGCAGAGCTTCGCAAGGAGCTTTGCGCGCTGCTGTCCCAGCGCCTCGCTGCACAGCTTTCTTCGCTTGGCTCCAACGAGCTGCTGGAGTTGCTCCCAAACGCTCCACTAGAGCTGCTGCTTGTGGTCGCTGGGCAAAACTTGTGGTTACCTGCAAACAGTTTTTAACAGGTGGATTATGCATTTTTCCTGTGCAGCACTTGTCCGATGTTCATTTTAAATCTTTGTATATTGTATTGTATTGTATATCTCCAGGAACAGCGACGACTCCGTGCTGAAAATAAGGGCCCCTGCAAGTTCCTGTAAGGCCACAAAATCGCGAGGGCAAGGAACGAAACAAGCCCGCAGATCCCCCCCCCACTCGTGACTCGTGTGGCAAGTGTTTCGACACTGGGGAGTTGGACTGCTGAGGTCCTGAATGAGATAGACACGCGGCTGGCAGAAAAGCTGGACATCCCACCGGACATAGCTGCCAGCTGCCTGCGTCGCATACTGGAAGCGCATGGATCCCATGATCTGGAGTTGCTGCAGTCAGTCGCGAGCAAGGTGGGGAAGATTGGGGAAAGCTTTTGCACCAGCAGTGCTTTGTTTTTCATGTCCTTGAAAGGTCGTGCAGTCGCTGGCTTTGACTGTTGGGCACAACGTTCACAACGATCCTGTGGCGGCCATGCCTGCTCTTCAGGCCGCCTGTGCATGTCTCGGGGTTTTGGGTCTCGAAGGATCCACTTTGAGACGGCCCCTTCGACAGTGCCTTCAAGCCCTGGCATCAGCAACGCCTGCATGGCAAAGCTCCGAAACCGTCGAGCTTGTCTTCGCTATCGCCTCGGCCTACGGAGGAGATCTGCCTTTTGACATGCTGGCCTATTCTTGGCAGCTTGCTGGCCAAGACGTTGTACCTCGCTTGCACCAATGCACTGATCTCTTGTGAGTCGCAGCAGGCATACCAAGCATGCACTGAATGTGTGCTGGTGCAGGCAAGATCGCAAGAGGACCTGGTAAACGACCCCAAGCTCTGGGCCTTTGTGCTGGGTGCACAGCATCTCTCGTCTAAGACGGTCCTTGCCTCCTTACGGTCTCTTCGCTGCAAGAGTTGCGAGGGTTGAAGTCAAGTTGAAGTGCCAAGCGGCTGCTTGCGTTGGCACACAATCCCAAGGCTCGCACCACATGCAGCAGCCCTAGATGCATCCCTCACATTCTCCCAGAAGGACGATGACCAAGAAACAGCTGCCTCAGAGTCTCAATTTGTTGTTTGCTTGGCCCTTGCCACTGCCTGGAAGGAGATCCAGCTGCCTTCCTTTTCGCTGACAAGGGACTCCGAAAGCCAGGCCCAGCTCAGCTGCACAGTTGGCATACTGATTTCACAGCACACATCATAGTGACTCGGCCACAGCAACGCACCATCAAACCATTCTTGGTTCTTGTCGAGAGAACGCCACGAACCTCAAACCCAGTCTTCAGCTTGAGCGGTTCTGAATGCATCACATTGAGCTGAGGCTCATCTTATTCTCAATGCTCCACTTGTCTGCGAATGTGCGTGGAAATGCACGCACAACAGCAGTTGTTCTCCTATTCAAGTTCAGTTTTGCATTGCTTCTCAGCGTAGATACTGATCGGGCTGATCATGTAATGGGCGCTACCGAGCACATGTGACTTGTTGCTGTATGGGCGTGCGGCTTCACGACTTTTCGAGGGCTCTTGTGCGAGAATATGCAAGACAGCACAGCACTCTTCGATTCGCTCACCCTCCTTCAGAAGGGGATGCTAACAAGCAGATGCGTACCAAGCTGGCAACAGCAGATGGACACAGAAAGTCAGAGGGAAAGCAGTCGTTGGCGCAACGACCTTTGGCCATCAGGCCGCGCTGGTGGGAGGACTACGTCTTGCGCTGCCTGCAGCCCTACCAGCAGAAGACAGCGCAGAAAGCTTCCAGGACGGCTTGACTCGAAGAGCCACAGCAAATCAGAGTTTAGTCGCTTGGATTGCAGGTGCGCGGCACGCCATACAAGGCCGACTTTGGGTTTGAGCGGCAGGAGCCTCGTTCGTTTGTGTGTGTGTGTGTGTGTGTGTGTGTGTGTGTGTGTGTGTGTGTGTGTGTCTGTGTGTCTGTGTGTGTGTGTGTGTGTCTGTGTGTCTGTGTGTGTGTCTCTGTGTGTGTGTGTCTCTGTGTGGTGTGTGTGTGTGTGTGTGTGTTCTGTGTGTGTGTGTGTGTGTGTGTGTCTGTGTGTGTGTGTGTGTGTGTCTGTGTGTGTGTCTGTGTGTGTGTGTGTGTGTGTGTGTGTGTGTCTGTGTGTGTGTGTGTGTGTGTGTGTGTGTGTGTGTGTGTGTGTGTGTGTGTGTCTGTGTGTGTGTCTGTTGTGTGTCTGTGTGTGTGTCTGTGTGTGGTGTCTTGTGTGGTGGGTGTGTCTCTGTGTGTGTGTTGTGTGTGTGTGTCTGTGGTGTTGTGTGTGTGTATGGTGTGTCCTGTGTGTGTCTGTGTGTGTGTGTGTGTGTGTGTGTGTGTGTGTGTGTGTGTGTGTGTCTGTGTGTGTGTGTGTGTGTGTCTGTGTGTGTGTGTGTGTGTTTGTTTGTTTGTTTGTTTTGCCATCTTGGTAGCAAAGGGTACTAGCTCATCCGTTTATGTAAAATGTGCCGGGGGGTGGGCACACTTTGCGTGCTGTTTTGCAAACTGGGCGCAGTTTCCACGTACCTATTTTCGGCCCAACTCCCCCCCCCCCCCCATCACACCTCGGAGCTGGGAAACGTCTGTCGCCGCTCTCCACGAAGGCTCCGAGGTGGCGTGCATCAAGAAAGTTTAGCAGTTTGCGGCCGTTCTTGCTTTCCTTCTCTAGATCTTCTTGGGGCAACAATCAGTTCAAGGCCTTACCTGTAGGACAACTCAACAGACCCTACCCCCCGGCACCCGGCACCCTTAAATGCTGATGTTCTCAAGTGAATACCCTCCACCACCAGATGCAAAATTAAAAAAATGCCCAGACTCCGCGGAGTCTCCTGCAAATTCTGGCGCTCCGCGGCCCTCCTGCCTGAGAAGAACGCAGGGCAGAAGGTAAGGAGCCAGGGACTAAAATCCCATAATGAAGGCCTTGTTTCGGGGGAGGAACGAAAGCCCGACGCCCACTTCTTCGAAACAAACTTCGTCGATGAAAGGGGGGGCTCGTAACTGGAGGTCTGGGACCCCGTTCTCAAGCCCTGCTGAGGCTGCAGACTCTCGTCGTCGTGCCCAGGAAAGCACATGTCGCCGGCAGTAAGAAGCTCAGTGGCTTCGGGCAACTCATGGAGTCGACTCTGGAGGCCCTCCGACTCTGCAGCATCTCTTGTCACCTCTTTCCAGAAAGCAGGCTGAAAGAGTCCTTTCTAAAAGCACAGGCTAAGGGTTTCCATGGCTTCCTTTCTGGCATCTCCGTTTGGAGGCGATGGGATGGCGCACCCTTTGGGTCTGGCCAGAGGATTGGCTGTCACTGCAGCAGCAACCTCCCGACAACGATGCCTTGGAGGTGCGGTACTTTTAAAAAAACTAGCCAGTGCGAGTCTCGCTGCACGCGATTTGACAGGCACTTCGTGCTGCAGTTGAGGGCAGCGCCGAGGAGCCTATCCAAAATGCAGTGGAAGAGACAGAGGAGACGACAGAAAGCTCCCAAGATGCGGCAGGACAGCATGCACTCTCCAAGGTATCATACGGTTGTTCGCGTGATTTCGTGTGCACATACATGAGGGCACGGCACATTCCTCACATGACATGTCCATCGTACTATTTATCGCTTGCCGTGAAAGATGGCAGGAAGTGATCCACCTGCGATTCCGGAAGCTACTGAACCGAAGCCGCAGGGCTCGGAGCCCCTGTCCCCCGAGGCCCCGCTATTTAAAGAGGCAGAGCCTCAAGAGGAAAGGGAGGCCGAGGCACCCAGTGTGGACAGTCCCAGCAAGGCAGCAGATGCTGCATGAGTCGTTTCGTAAAATGTTTTCGCCAGTTGTCGCTCATGTTCATGACACGGGGGCATGGCCATTGAGCGTGTCACGAGGAAGCAAGTTATCACGCAGCTTTGCTTCCCCATGTATGGTCTTGGGGCCCTACCCCCCTTCCCCCACCCACCCCCCATGTTATAGACATTGGGGTCTCTTTTGAGGTTCATATAAAGGTGCCGCGCTGCATTGGGGGGCACTTACAATCATGGGCCGCAAAAGAAAGTCAAGAGGGAGGGGCGTGGGGGGAGAATAATATTTAGATCTGTCGCTTCAGGGCACAACATATTCCACACCGCAGCGGGGGAGGTATGTGGTATGCCGGTCGCTTCGGGGCACGACATGTTCCAACCGGGGGGGGGGGGGGGTGCGGTATGCCGGTCGCTTCAGGGCACAACATGTTCCACCAATAACATGGAGCGTTGCTGGGTTACATTAACAATCATGGGCAATTGCTCTGCGCGAGGGCAGTCTAGTGAGCTTTGTATGATCTATCCTTGCGGCAGACTCTCGAATGGCCCCTGCGGTCGCTTGAAAACAAATGTATTCATGGGTGTAAGCGACACAACGAATTCTCAAGGTTGGGTTCGGCGCCAGGGTTCGCAGGTCAAAGCCACAACCCCCTGCACGCACGACGGTGCCCGCAGACTTGCTGCGCCGAGAAGCCCCAAGCTGCCATAGCCATGAGCGCTTCTTTTCAACAGCATACTGAAGTGGAAAACGACATATCTCAAGTTGTGTGAAATAGTCCTCGTAGACCAGCGCGTACGAAGCCTGTTAGGTAAAAGCTACAGCACTCATGTACAGTCAGAGTCTGTTTGCCTACCAGTTTTGACAGCACCGACTCACCGCAGGGGCCCCTTTTTGGAGCCAAGGCTCAGACGGGAAAACGGCCAGTTTTCACACTGGTAGCGGAGCCAGTGCCCTTCAGGGGCCAGTGCTCTTTTCACCTTTTTCGTTCGCCCTAGAGGCGATAGCCGCCAGCGTGTGTCGCCATGGCCACTGGCGGAGGTTTGCGTTTCAATCCTCGGAGCAACCAGGAGCCCGAGCTGACAAAGCAAGGTTTCTTGGTGTATAGTGGATCCGTTTCGGACTACCATGAGTGGGAATTTCGGGCGATGGCGAAGTACCACGCTACGAAGGCGGATGAAAGGTTTACACTTGGTGCAAAATTGCTGGAGTCCCTTCGAGGGGACGCTTACATTGTTGCCCAGGACTTGGGGCACGATGTACTGAAGAGCGCCGACGCGATCACGCAGATCATCGACGCTGTGCGTAAGGTGATTTTTCCTTTGCAGGCCCAAGAGGCAAAGGAACTTTACCGAGTCGGGGCCAGCGTTGGTGGTGTGATGTCAAGACAAGCGGGAGAGTCGATGACCTCCTATATCGGGCGAAGAAAGAGATGGTACAGGAAGTTGAAGGAGTTGGACAAGACGATAGAAATATCCGATACCATCCTTGGAGATCTTTTACTCGACAACTCTGGATTAGATCGCAAAGAGCGACTAATGGTACTTACAGCTGTCGGGGAAACGTCTTCTTTTGATGCGATCGAGAAAGCCCTCATTACTCAACATGGGAAATTGCATGTTCTGGAGTCCCGAAGTTCGGGCAAGGGTGCAAGCAACTACAACCGCCCCAGAGGCATGGCCTACAAGGGAACAAAGAGTTCTGGCAAAGGAAAGGCGAATGCTCAGAATCACCATGGGGCAGCCTATCTGGCAGAGCCTGAGGACCTCTTCGACTCCTACGACGCCGGGGAATCCTTTTGGGATCCCGAGGCAGAGGAAGAAGAGCTGGTACCTGATGATCAGGACAGTTCAGCCTTCATGGCTGATTCCCTTGGAGAGGCAACAGCCGAGAAGATAGAGCTGGATGTTGTGGAAGCATTCCTTTCGACACCAGACTTTAGTCTGGATGATGATGAGTGTATTGCTTTCCTTGCTTCAGCTTGTCAGGCTGAGGTTTGTGCTTTCTTTGCTCGCTCCAAAGCGAAAGGCAAAGGAAAGCCGATGGGAAAGCATGCCCACGGCTACAGGCCCAAGCCCAGCGGTTTGAGTATTGAAGACCGCAAAGCGAAGCTCAAGGAGATCAAGGCACGTAGCGTTTGTCGCACGTGCGGGAAGAAAGGGCATTGGGCTGGTGACCGAGATTGCAAAGGCAAGCCATCTTCAGGAGGCAGCAGCACGCAAGGCACCAAGGATAGAACTGCGCATTTCTCCGCGATCTTGACAAAAGACGCGTCCGTGCAGACCTCGTTTTGTTGCTCATCTTCGGAGAGCGAAGGGTCAGAGGTACTGCATAAGCCTCAGATGTTTCTGGCGCTGGATGACGACCACGAGCATCCCGAGGGTTACCCGGGCTTCTTCAACCCCGGAGACTTTGCGGAGGAAGAAGAAGAGCTCGAAGAAGCAGATGGGTCGTTTGAGTTGCTAGAAGCACCGCCTGAGGGTTCGGACACCGTTTTTGGGTTCGGAGTTCACCGAGGTTCCACCTTCGGGGATGTCGTTTTGAGACACCCTGACTATTTCACGTGGGGCATCAAGGAAAAGAACCCCAGCCGAACGCTGGAGGAGTTCCTTGTGTGGTGTAACATGTACTACGTGTTCCCACGTGGAAAGGCCGAAAGAAGGAAATACCCTCTTTCAGGTTATGAGGCGCGAGACCTCGAGTCTGTTAAGGCCTGGATGCTGTCACAAGGCATCGGTGGAAAGGTGAACAAGTCAAAGCTCGCCAACCTGAAGCCGGATCCTCGTGGACCGTGCCAAGGCGGATGCCCGGCTCATGCCATTAGTAAGGCAGGGTCAAATGACAAGGTCATCAAGACCACTTGCATGATTTGTGGCCACCGATGGTCAGAGCCACGGCCACAAGCGCAGCCCACGAGGGATGCGGCGACTTGTCCTCACAGCCGCACGGACAACAGAGGTTCCACCAAGGCCGTGCACAAGGTCTGGTGTTTGGACTGTTGTACTTTTGTTGAGGAGATGCCGCAGGCGCTCCACAAGCAACAGGTTGAGCTAGGGAGAGCCGCGCAACAGGCACCCCTGAAGGCTCAGGACCTCACCCGTCGTACGCTTCAGGACACACCTCTTACGCAGATGGAGGCAGGCGAGGTAATCAAGCATTTTGTGAAGAACATGAATAGATACCTCACGAGAGTAGAGAGCACTTCCTCGCAGGAACTTCTGAGCATGTTGAGTGACTCTGTTGGTTTTGTAGTAGCAAGCCAAGCCACTCAGCAAGTTTTAGGGACGGCTAGTAGTAGCTCAGGTTTCGTTAGGAGGGATCTCCAAGCTCAGGCCCTAAATCCTGTAGGAAGAAGTCCTCCAGGAACTCCCGCTCACGCCTCCGCCGCCGCAGCCGTTTTGGCCCCTAGGACGCCGCCTAGGACCCCGCAGAGGCCGACAGCGCCTCAGCTTCCTGAGAGGGGCAGTCCTCCAGGATATCCACCGCACGCCTTTATGGCGGTGGAAACGCCCGAGCCTGTGTTGGAGCAGCTCGAGGAGGTCGATCCCCTTAGGGACGACCATGTCTACGCCATGCTCGATGAAGGTTGCAACTCCACCTGTCACGGGGAGAAATGGCGTATAGACGCAGAAAAGAAGCTCGAGAAGCTTGGCTTCCGAGCGAAAGCTGCACCACTTACCGTGGGCACCTACCGTGGAATCGGAGGTGCAGAGGCCACGCAGAGATTGGTGTTTCCAATCGCTCTGGCGATGGAGCCGTCTCAGCTGTCTTGGAATGGCAGCGTGGCAAGCAATGAGATTGGGGGGCAAGACTTTCCGCTCCTTCTCTCGTTGCAAGTGCAGCAGAAGCTAGGCCTAAGGAAGGACGTGAGAGCCGGACTAGTTCAACTAGCCGACTACCCAGGCCAAAGCTTGAGGTTGTTCAAGAACAGCCGAACCGGACTACTGATGATCCGAATCGACCAGTTCGAGAAGGACTTGGCCGAAGGACATCAGGAGTTCAGACTGGAAGAGTATCCGAACCTGCCAAAGGTCGGACACCAGTCACCTTCAAGGACCGTTATGGCCTTGAGGAGCGCCTCACCGGTTCAGAGAGCCTACATGATAGCCGATACAAAGCCGAACATCGTTTTGATGTCGGCAGGAGTGTGGACGCTAGACGTAGGCGCGGAAAGTTCCAAAGTGAGTAAGGAACTCACCGACGCAGTGGACAGAATCCACGCGAACCGATTTTCGGTCGCACTTCCGAAGAATCTTGAATTGGTGAAGAGAAGTTTGAGGAAGAACTACCCGATTATCACAGAGGAAGTGAAATCGGACGATCACCTTGTGATCTTGGATGTAAGGGACATCCCAGACCCGAAGAATTACCGGGATCATATCGGGACGTACCCGGAGAACCTGCACCACACCGTCTACAGCAAGACTTTTCTATCCCTTTGGGAAGAAATTGCAAAGCAGATCGATCGGATTATCCGACGATCGAAAGATGGTGACAAGATCATCATCCTTTTCTTGTGCACTGGTGGAAAGCACAGGAGTGTAGCCCTGAGACACCTTGTGCAAGTCGTACTAGAGAATGTCTATGGCATCTGTGCTGGATATTTGGACGTGTCGAGAACAGTCACGTCGTCAAGCAATGGAAGGGTTTCTTCGACCCCTCAAGAACGCCAGTGAAGGGAAGAAGTCGCACACCAGCAGGAACTTGGGTGCGAAAGGACGGGAGAGGTGATGCCTCTACACCTTCTTCGTCCGCCCCGAAGCAGGGAGATCAGCAACTGACTCCCGGCACGGGGGCCACGCCAAAGGCGATGCCGAAAGACGGAGGCACGCCGGAGAGAGAAGGAAAGGCTTCGACCTCTACGGATGTCAAGGACACCGAGAAGGACAAGAAGAAGGCGCATGCAGCAAACGCGAGCGCGAAGAAAGGAGCCCGCAAGGCGGAGGCCGGAGACTCGTTAACGAGCTCCGATGACGACTTGTTGGGAACCAGTGGCGTCCCAGAACACTACCACGACTTCTCCGATTTGATTGAGGAAGACCACCGGGACTTGGAGCGCATCGCGTACATTTTCATCCACAGGATCGTCCAGGTTTTTCAACCGGACGCCCTAACAAAGCCGGATACGCTGATCCGCAAGTATTCGGACAGCTTGGTGTTGGCTATGGGTGCGGTCGCCCGCAAGTATCTGGACGAGAAGCAAGCTCGCCAGATCCTCGAAGCAGTCTTACGTTTGCGTAGACTGGACATCGAGGGTTTCAACGCAGAGTACCTCGAGAAGTCTCTTAGGGCAGCCACCGAAATGGTTGATGAGCTCGACGAGGCGACGCCTGACTTCGGCACCAGAGACGTGCGAGACAGCATGCGGGGCCGCAGTCTAGGCTCAGCTGCCGCAGGATCGAGGGATAATCCCCGATCCAGGAGCGCTCGGGGGTATGGGCGAAGCGCAACCCCAGTTAGGAAGAAGTGGCATTGGGACGATCGTCGAGACGTCCGGAACACGCCACGCAAGAGCCGCGAGGAGGAAGCCAGGGAGTATCAGGAGCGTAGGGACGCGCGAGAGTCTCGCGAAAGCCAGCAGCGTCGTGTGAGGAACGACCAGGACCACGAGCGTGCGAGGTCAGACCTGCTGGGTATGGGGATTGATCCGAACTTACCAAGCGAGATCACCTCAGCTTACCTTGACCAGATGTGGCAAGGAGACCCTCGGACTTCGAAGAAGCCGGTGCTAATGCTGTGGGTACAGGACCCGAAGGAAAAGAATGGGCCTGTGAGAGTGACCCTTAAAACGGGCACTTACAACACTGCCACGAAGGTCGCGCCCGAGCTGAAGAACTGGTACAAGAACACGTTCGTTCAGCGCGAGGAAGGAGGCGACTGGTCTTGGGCAGAGCGATGGGAGTGGCCAACTCACGTTCAGGAGTTCAGCGAGAAAACGTACAGGGTAGCAATTGTTTTGTGCGCCCAGAGAATGAACCATAGCTGACTCTTTGACGAAAGTGAGGTATACGATGGTTCGCAGTTTTGCTCTGCCTACTACTCCACGCCATCGATATACCCTGGAGCGCCTGTAATGGGCACAAAGGAAAGAGAGACCTTTGAGAAAGGCTCTCGACAAATGAGCAAGCGAGATTCGCTGCTATGGAAGGAGTTGAGGGGATCGTTTACGACCCCTGAAGAACCAAGAAAGGTATTCCTTCTTGGGCAATGGTTCGGACCTTTTGAGGAGGCCGAAATGAAAGCAGCAGACCCCGGACCAGATCTGGCCGGGTATGAGACTGCGAGTTGGAGGCATAAAGTGTCCCAACAGATCCAATCGTTTCACCCAGACCTACTCTTAGTTTTGTTTCCGGGAGACTGCACCAAGCAGCTCTCAGAGACCGCCTCGGAGTGGCTACAGGACTTGCTCTCGCAGAGTGAAATGTGCGTTTGCGTTTTAGACGAAGTGGGTTCAGTTAGGTGGAAAGATTTGGAAGGTTTGGAAAGGGACGACAGTAAAAGTTTTGAACTTTACTACGCTAGAGGTGACCTTTGTATAGGCACTAGTAACCAAGGCTTGGGGGAGACTCTTTCTGTGTGGGCTAGTCAGGATCATAGTCGCTACTATGCCCCGATAAGCATTGACACGATACACACTCACGAAGGTTTCAGTCGGTTGATTGTTGATGTTTTGGAAGAGACTCTTCATGATCACGATCTTCATGTTGCGTTCCCTGTTGAAGCTTTGATTGAAGATCATATGGAGTTGGGTACTCTTGACACTGTTCCTTTAGGGGAGGATGTTGAAGGTTTGGACTCAACTTTGTCGACCCGATGCAAGATCATGAGGATGACTTGTTGGATACCTTACCCCTCGCCGGTTTCCCTAAGGATGAGGCCGAAAGGCGTAGGGAGTGGGCTAAGGTTCCTAGGAAGGTGAGGATCGCAATTAGGCGACTTCACAACATGATGTCACACAAGCCAAAGGAAGTTTTGTTGCAAGTTTTGAGAGGTTCAGGAGCTTCGGACGATATGATTAGGGCGGCGAAAGCATTCAGGTGCCCTACATGTGCTGTTTCACAAGAGATCCCGAAGACTCACCCTGTTTCCGCACCACCTTCCTATGTTTTTAACAAGGAAGTTTCGATTGATGTGTTCGAGGTTCAGGATTCGGACAGAACCAAATATCAGTTTCTTAACATGATATGTGTAGGTACTTGTTACCAAGTTGTTGCGTTGGTCAGGGTAGGGGAAGGACAACCTACCAGCGCGCAGTGTTTGAAAAAGTTCCAGAGACACTGGGTACAGTGGGCTGGATGGCCCGAATCTGTTTCAACAGATCGGGGATTGCACAATCGCGGTGCATTTGCAACCGGACTTTCGCAACATGGCGTTGTGTTGAGGCAAGCCGGTCTTGAAAGTCCAGAACACATCGGAAGATGTGAAAGGCACGGAGGTATCATTAAAAGAGCCTACCGAAGAGTGTGCAGACAGCACCACCTGCAAGGTAAAGAACAGGTGAAAGCAGCTATGACAGAATGTCAAGTTGCCAAGAATGAATTTGTGAGACATGGAGGATTTTCCCCGTCGCAATGGGTACTTGGAAGGCAACCTAGAGGCATAGGACATCTCTTGGATGAGGATGAACTAGGTCAGCTAGGAGTACTCAGTGGAGCGATGGACCCCTCCACAGCATTTGGACGCAGCATAGAGTACCGCCACACTGCGAGAAGAGCGTACGTACAGGCAGATACTTCAAGGCGAGCTAGAGCCGCCGTGCTGCGCAAGTCGGGACCACTACCAGGCAAGTACTCCGCAGGAGACTTGGTGTGCTACCGAATCGAAAGAGACTCGAGCGGTGTGCCTAGCTGGAGTGGAGTTTCCCGCATCATTGGTTTTGATGGGAAGACCGTCTGGGTAACGCACAGAGGCGTGCCCGTAGCAACTAGTTTAGGCAAACTCCGACCGTGTACTTCGGCGGAAGTTCTAGCTTATCAGATTTTGAGTAAAGGCAACTTACAGTACGAACACCTAGAATCTGAGAGAGAGCAGCAGCGATTTGTCGATGCGCGAGCGCACGACAGTGATGCAGACGATGAAGAGGACAGTGACTCTGCACGTCCGTCTTCTGCCATACGCTCAAATCCTTTGGAAGGATTGAGGACAGTGAGAAGGAGAGTGGGACTTACTCCTGAAGAGTCACGGGCAGAGCCCCGTGTAGAGCCCACGATAGAAGAACCCGAAGTAGAAGACGCTCAACAGATGGATGAGCCTACGGTGGAAGCCGTAGCAGAGAATGATCCGCAACTTGACGCGGCGGACATTCCGGTTCCCGAAGAAGAGGACACAGCTGATGCTTTATTGGCACAGTTTAAGATTCCCACGTATGGATCGAAAGAGTGCAACAAGTATAGAGCTTTTGTGGCCGATCGAATAGACTCAGAAAGCGCCCGAAAGTGGTTGAAGAAAAGGAGCAGCTATTCTAACAAGAAGAAAGCTGCGCAGAACAAGGTGTTCACATACGAAAAGTGTTCACCAGAGTTGCAAAAGGGAATCGACGGATCCCGTAAGGTCGAATGGGACAAGTGGAAAGAGTTTAACGCTGCACTTGATCTCGATGAAGAGCAGTACCAGAAGCTTAAAGATGAAGGCCATGAGGAAGTACCGCTCAAGTGGGTTGACACAGATAAGAACGATGCACTTAGAGGCACGCAACCAGATATTGAAGTACGGCATAAAAGTCGACTCGTCACCAGAGGAGATTTGGAGTCTGGGGATATCCGATCGGATTCTCCGACGGCAGATATCGAAGCTCAGAATTTGATATTCAGCTTCGCCGCTTCGCGGAAGGTGAGAATAGGCTCAGCCGACATCACAAATGCCTATTTTCAAGGAGAGGAATTAGACAGAGTACTAATCCTCAGACAGCCAAAGGGAGGACTCCCAGGGGAGCCCCCAGAGCGAAGGTTTCTGGCAAGGGTACCCGTGTACGGGACTCATGACGGAGGACGTAAGTTTTGGAAACGTCTCAAGACCAGTGCGCAGAAAAGAGGTTTTCTGGAAAACGCCATTTTCAAAGCACTTTATGTTCTCCGCAACAACGAGGGACGTATTATTGCGCTACTTTGCACACACGTAGATGACCTGCTGTGGGCAGCCGAGCCAGAAGCAGAGCCTGTCATCGAGGAATTGCTGAAGGAGTTTTCGTGCGGAAAAGTAGAGCGAAAAACTTTCCGTTACTGCGGGAAGGAAGTTTCCCAGGCAGATGATTACACTATCACTGTCACCTGCAAAGAAACGACATTGAAAGTTAGGAGGATTTTTATTGCCCCTAAACGAAAACCCGGTGAGCCCTTGACTGATAAAGACAAGCTACAGCTAAAAAGCGTAGCAGGAAGTCTGTCTTGGGTGGCGAGGCAATGTCGTCCGGACTTAGCATATCGAGTAAGTCGAATGCAGTCCGCTAGCGCAGGAGGAATTGTAGCAGACCTTCGAGAGGCGAACAAAGCCGTCGACTATGCGTTAGCGACGCCGGATAGAGGTTTGACTTTCAGAGCAAACGTTCTGGATTGGGACAACCTTATTTCGTGTGTCATCACTGACGCCAGCCATGCAAATGAGAGTCAGGTGATGAAGGTCAAAGGTGAGGATTCTGTGGAACCTTACCGAAGCCAAGGAGCTAGGTTGAATGCCCTTGGAACCCCAAGTTTGATCTCATCAGATGAAGGGCATATGCACCTCATCAGTTACGCCTCAAGGAAAGTGCGTAGGGTCTGTAGATCCACGCTGCAAGCCGAAGCCTATACCCTGCAGGCAGGAGTTGAAGAAGGCGATAGACTGCGAGCTGCCGTCGCAGATCTTTTCGGCAAACTTGACCGCAAGAAGTGGGAAGCATCTTCTGCGGCGTTTATGAGGCAGGTGTGGTTTACGGATTGTCGTAGTCTAAGTGACACGCTCCGAAACCCTAAGATGAGCAAGCATGAGGATAAGCGACTCTCTATCGAGATCGCCTCAATGCGAGAATCCCTATGGAGAGCAAAGGGAGAACAATACGGCGATCCTTATTATCAGGACGACCGTCCAGAAGAGCCAACGGACGAAGTTCGCTGGATCGACACAGACGTCATGGTAGCAGATCCACTGACAAAAGTCATGGAGAGCACCAAGTTAGTTGAGTGTTTGTTCACTAACTGTTTGAAAGTCGAGCAGCCGATTGAGTCCGTGATCAAGAAAAGGGCTAAGCAGCTTCAGAGAAGGAAGACTGCAGACCCTGCGGACGGGCTGGATGTGATGGATTAGATCCACTCTTCGTTTGGACCTTGTACAGGCCAGGCTTCTACGCCAGAAGAGTCACGGGTGTGAAATAGTCCTCGTAGACCAGCGCGTACGAAGCCTGTTAGGTAAAAGCTACAGCACTCATGTACAGTCAGAGTCTGTTTGCCTACCAGTTTTGACAGCACCGACTCACCGCAGGGGCCCCTTTTTGGAGCCAAGGCTCAGACGGGAAAACGGCCAGTTTTCACAAGTTGAATCTCGCGTGAAGGAAGACTCAAGTTATCGAAGCGTCAGTTTAAAGTTTGTTCAAAGTGCTCACTCAGCAATTGGCTGCGGTGAGGTGGCATGCATAAAGCTGGAAGAATTCTTGCAGTTTGGAAACTTCGAGTTTTGGAGAACCCAAGTGTCGACATTCAGAACTACACCCGGCCCTTTGACAGAATGCCGGTCCAGAACACATTTCGACACCCCCGAAGGCATTAGCTAGACGGTTACAAATCCAGTCTTTGAGTCCACCACCCATCCACAACTGCCCACGTGCACGGAGTGCAGTTTGTCGCATAGAGCACACGCGTTGTCAGTTTACTTCGGGAAGATGAGCCGTCCTAGGAGGTTCAGCTTAACATGTTGCTTGTTGCCGATGTGCTCCTCTTGGCTGACAGCTTGCTATTTACAGCTTGCGCCTACAACTTCGAAACGCTTCCCATAAGAGCCATAAGATGCCTTCAGCGATGCATTTCCCACTTCAGCCGGCAACACCAAAGTGAAAGAGGCGCAGGAGACATGGACCATTGACATGGGTGGCACGAGCCTGTGGCGCTCTGTCCCTGGCCTGTTCGTCCTGGCACAAGCAACGCTGCTGGAAGAGGCATGTGAATTCAACCTCTTTGAATACGAGGCGACCTGCCTTCGCTTTGCCTGCACACGAACAGGAGCTGCGCAACATTTGGACAGACGATTCTTGCCTGCACTGGGCCAAGCTGGTAGAATGGACCTGCGCGCAGGTTGCACAGGGCAAAGGGAGACTGAAGAAGTGGCTGCGCTTGGCACCATATGCACATGAGCAAAACAATCAACGGTAGCTAAACACTGAACCCACAGCCCTAAAAATCGAAGAGTTTCGGGCTTGGCTGTGACTCCGGAGAGGAACCAATGAAGTTTTCGCCTACGGCATCTTGTGGGAGCTGAGGTTCTTCCCTCTGTCCAAGCAGAGAGTCCTCATCTCGTCGTTCGTGAATTGCAACCGCAGTTCAGCTACATCAAAGCTGACGCAGCGCAGCTGTCGAAGCATGGCAAGGCAGGCTGCAAAGAAAATCCACCAGAGTGTCTTGCAAAGCCGAATGCACGCGAAAGTGAGCCATGAACCCCGAAATTGAAAGGACTGCCTTCTCCTGGATGTCTTCCAAGCCAAGCCTGACACTGACAAAGTACCACTGCAGCTGGACTTGGGATCGCTGCAGGCAGCGCCTTATGCTCCCTGGCTGAAGGGATGGGATGGGACAGCTTCGTGATGCTTCGTGCATGGAGCTTTGGCATTTGCACGATCGCATGAGCGAAGTGTGATTGTGCATCCTGTTGTGAGGCCGACTGCAGCTTTCGCACCTTCTGGGCCAAGGGGCGCGGTCTAGCACTCGACTGGGTCCCAAAAGAGCCGCGCCTTTGCCAGTTGTACCAAGTCCTTCTCGTAGAGGACGCGGGGGGGGCGAAGCGAGAGCGCAAGAGAATATTGTGCCCGGAAGCGATTCTCCAGGATGAGTACGTCCTCGACAGCTTTCGACGTGAACCACCAGCTTGCCGCATTTTTCCTCTTGATCCACACAAGGCAGTCGCGTTTCTGCTGTTCTGCTGTAGCAGCCTGCAGCTTCAAGCTCCTCCGCCTACCTCCGCCTACATCTCACATCGAACTAGGCTGCCGAGCTGCCATTTGTGCCACTGCCATGGGCACCTGGGGAGCCATTGCCTGACCTCAGCCGCATCGTGTCCTTCCATGCTTACAGCGCACCTTGGCAGCAACAGTCCGTTCTGAAGAGGACCTCTCTTTCCCCCTCCTTTGCCATCCTTTGCCGCTGACGTTTACGTCAAGACTGGGTTGTGCAGGTCTATTCGGCAGAGGCCCAGTCGAACCCGCAGAGGTGGCTGCAGGCCTCCTTCTTGCCCGCAGGTGCCGCAACTTGGCATCAAGTCATTGAGAAGTGAATCCCCATCCAGGAGCCAGACTTCTGGAATGCGCATTTCACCGAGCTGATGCAGCAGGGGATGCTCACCATATGCCTTACAGAAGAAAGCTGTCAGGACATGCGCTGCATGTGTGTGCGGTATTCTGCTGCTTGCCACTTGTCATCGTTGCTTTGTTCACAGTGCTTTTGCGCCACTTGCCCGAGGGCGATTCTGCGCCGTACCGGCTGATGTTCTGGGAGGATATCAGCACAGAGTTCTTGCAGTGCATCGCAAGAGGCATAACCCCAATCTTCTTGGGGACGCCGTCCATCTATGAGTATGTAGAAACTTGGTATTCAGTCATTCTGACATGAGTGGAGAATAGGATGCGCTCCGCATATCCTTACCCTTCTGGACACAGCTAGCTGATTAAGGAGAGGAACGTCCTGCTAACTCGCTGGCGGTTCGAGACCGCGACCGAGATGATGGCAATAATAAGTACACTCTCCTCCCCACAGGCCCAGCTTTCTGCAGTCCATGATGCTCCACTTGACACTCAGAGCCGTGTTATCTGCTTCTTGGGAGGGCGTTCTGGAACATGGCACCCGAGTCTTCATGGAGCGCCAGGGCAATTACTTCCTCAGCGCCCTGGCTCGGACTATCTCTGACCTGTTCTTGTTTTCTTGTTCTTGTTGCGGGTGGCGGTGCATGTGGTGTTACGAAGGACACACCCCCTCTCCCTCCCCCCCAGAAACCGCCCACCCGCATTGCCGCCATGAAGAGAAAAGACGACCACGGCTGGCACCGCCTCCGCTGTCAACCAGCCACAGAAAAACAAACTTACCTGCCAGCGCATGTTGATCGATTTGAACATGTCTGCCAAAGAGAGCAAGTCGACGGACCATGGAGCACTGGTGTTTCAGAGAGGCAGGACGTCTAGGGAGCGTCAGGCCTTTGAAGTATTGAGTGAGTTAGTGAGTGAGTGAAACGACACCATGGCCGAGGAACTAGGTCTGGAGAGAGGGTGCGTGTGTTACCTCTGTTACGTTGGTCTGGACCGATAGGCCCGTAAGGACAACGCAGACAGCAGCAAAGCAAGGAGTGGGGTGCACGAAAGCACCAGGCTGCAAGGTACGTGATGTCACAGACCACTCCACTACACCAAACGACGTCTAGGACATGGGAGTGGGGGTCATAGGGTATAGGGAGTTGAATCACCTGCACAGTCCTCACTCAGGAGCAATGAGGGAAAAGCCTGGGCTAACCCTCAATGTCGAGCATCCAGAGGAGAGCAAGGAGGAAAAGGCGAGGGTTGCGCACACAGTGGAGTCAAGGGAGTCAAAGAAAGAGACTCAGAAGGCTGCCGACCCGTCGACAATCAAGAGCACGGATGAAAAAGTCCCGACCCAGACCTTGAAATTCCAGGCGAGAGCTGGGACCATGGCAAAGGGGCCAAATGAGAGGCGAGAAAGGGGTCTGTCTTTAAATTGGGAACAGGGAGGAGGTGGCAGTTTTTATAGGGCAACGTTTGCAGCAGAAAGCTAAGAAACTACGCATACGACTACCCACTCAAGACAAGCCAAGAATCTCAGAAAGTATGGCATTCTTGACCTTTGGATCATTGAATCAGCATTTGGCATCACTTGGCAGGGGCCGGAAAGGAAGGGAGGAGATATCCAAGCCACGTGCGTATACTGTGTGTGGTACTTACAACCTGGGTGGGCGGGCACCGCCACAGGTCGCTTGTACTGGCGTCAAGACCCCCGACTTCGGGCCCTGCTGCTAGCCAGTGCTGCACAGCGGCAGCAGCGGCTTCAACCAGCGACAGAGGCGTCTTTATGTCAAACCGGGCAAGTGCCCATCTGAGTTCCGTGGCTTCGTAGTGACAGGGATCCGTGAGTGGGGTTCCGGTGCCATGGGCGCAGTTGCAGGTAAAGAAGTAGTTCTTCCATCTGGGCTGTATGTGCCTTAGTGGCTCCAGTTCCTGAAGCTGCTTTGAATACTTTCAAAGACTTGCAGAAATACTCACGTTTCAACCGTTTCTGCACGAAAGTTCAAGAGGAAGCTTCCACTGCACTGCACTGCCTGGCAACATGGCGCATGACGTTGGCACCCGTGGCTGCAGGATGCCAGCGACTCACCTGTAATGGAGGTGGTTGTGTGCGTTGCCTCTGCGGCGCAGAATCGAGCCTTGTCCAGGAAGTGGCAGGAAAAGCTTCAGGGATAGTGTCACGTAGCGGCGCAGCCTCCTCCCTCTTTGCAGTATGAACTGGCACTGAAGACATCCAAAGAAGCAAGTTTTTCCCCGTCACACTTGCAGTAATCCTGGCATGCGAGGACCTGCACGCGATATCATTCGAACGACTTGGGGCAGTGAGCCGTACTTGCGCACGGGCTTTGGCTTTGTTCTGATTCGCGACTCTCAGCTCAAACAGCGTCAGTTGCCCGACATGCATCGGCTCTAATCGACGACCGGCCTCGTTAAGCATAATAGACCAGGCGCGGAACCTCTACATTCTACATGACATTTGATCGCACATGATCGCACGCTTGCGTGTGATGCTGCGAGGCGTCCTGCCTTTACGATCTTGCGCTTCCAGTCCCTTACAAAGTCAAGGCACACATGTTGTTGAACCTCACATGGTTCTCTCGCATGGTTCTCGAAGAACGTTGACACTTCGGCAGTCGATGTTGCTTTTCTGGCAGTCACGTCGCAGAAACTGCCGAGAAGTGTCGTTTTCGAACAGCTGCGCAAAACTTGTGCCGCAAAGCCACGAAAACCCGAAGCTCGAGGTGAGCTCGTTTTCTTGGCGCTCGAGTAATGTTACTTGATAACAGACGTTACTTTTTCCAGCGAATGGGCCGAAGTGGTAAACAGGATTGCGCGGAAGGGTCCGCGGAAGGCGTGGCGTTCGCGAAAGGCTCGCGGAAGGTTTTTCTGTCAGCATGTTTGAAATTTACTTTAGATATAAGCTTGTCTTCGAGATTGTTTTGCTGATGCCCCACATACATGCCGGCAACTATAAGAATCACACCCCATCGGTTTTCCAAGCCGCTTCGGAGATCGGACTCCTCGGAAGGGTCGTGGAAGCTCCGAGGAAGGCGACGGGTCGTTTTGGAAGACCAGAGCCCACAGCTCTCTCTCCCGTTTCCATCCCAACCCCCTCGTCGAACCCCCTGGTTGAACCCTAGACCTAGCCCTCTGAACCCTCTCCGCTTAACCCTTTAGCTTTGACCCTTACCCACACAGACCTTTGACCCTCAACCCTAACAATTCCTGGACATCATATGACTCAGGTTACCGATTTCTGTTTCTGGTGAGAAGGTGGAGTCACGCATTTCCGCGCAAGGGTCAGAATGTCCATCAACTCATGCTCGAGAGAAAACGTCGCTCAGATGACGAAGAAGCCACATACGCAAAATAGCAAGATGCAAACGGTTTGACACAAACAACATGGCACAAGTCCAGCAGACCCAGCCAGTGAAGGCACATCCAAGTATTGGCTGGCATCCTATTGCGAATTCCCTAGCCCTGGCCCCAACATACTCAAATCGAGACAAATCGTTTGCCCAGCTATGCAGGAGCGAAAAAAGCCACCGACAATTCTCATTCGAAGCTGACAGATCTCAGGTCCTGTTTTTCTTGGGGCAAAGTGATGAAGCCACCGCCGAGCACAAGGAGACTGGTGACATTGTGCGGCTAGGCTTGGATTCAGACGTCAGGAATTGGTTGCAACAACTGAAGATGCAGTCAAACGGCATCTCGTCCCGTACGCTTGTGTAAATGAACCAACCCAATTCAAAAATTGGCTGATAGCACATGCTGGGGCAGGTTGTTGCCGGACCTGCCAGAGAATTTCAGCAGCATCTGGTTGAAGACGGCAGCCATTCTCAAGTTTGGGGCCGACTACTTCAAGGCTGCGAATGGCTCCGGAAGGTGGGAAGTTCAACCAGTGAACCAATAAGATTGGAAACAGACGGGTAAGTTCTGCACAATCTGTTTGCAATGAGGTTGCGCTTCCTCATCAAGTGCGATGACGACGCCTTCCTCGACATTGATGCGGTGGCAGCTGACATCATGGGAAGTGCACCAGTAGGCCGGGACATGTCGAGCCAACAACGCACTGTTTCCCGCAGCATGCTGCGAGAGTCATGACACCAACAACAGTAGATGGCTTCTCTTCGGAACAACAGGCCTGCTGTGGGGCCACGCAGCTTCGATGTTTTCAGAAAGAAGCGGACAATGCCAATGATGCGAAAGTTGTTCTTCCATGATGGCACGCAAAGTCTGGTAGGCTTCTGGCTCATGACAAACATCCAACGGAATCCAACACAGCCAAGGTGATGGCACTGGTGGAGCCCAACAGGAATGCATCTGACAAGTATTTCGTCCCGTACGAAGCTTCTAGAAAGCAAATGCATTCATACGTGGCACGTGGAGTTGCAGGGCTGCCTCATAACCACCAGTCTGAGGTTTATCCAATGCAGCCGCGCGGACTTTGCTACACGAACTCTCCACGTCTTTCGTGCACCAGGTCTCCAAATAGTCTTGCGTTGACATCCCTAAGGTACTATCCGCCTTATGCCCGCGGCATGGCATATGCCTTATCCGAGGATGTGGTTCTCCCCTTAGGTGCTGCCTTGTACGAGGGTCGTTTAGACCCTTTTCCCTACAGGGAGGATGTGTCCGTGGGACTGTACATTCTGGAGTTGGCCAGAAGTGGCCACGCACCTCGTCAAAACCATCCATCGAAACTTCACGTTGGAGCACGAGGGGCCTCAAGAGCCACCTGCCACTGGTCTCGCAAGGTACGCGTTGTTCCGCATCAGCGTAAAGATGCGATGCCCCTGGAAGCTTGCACAAATTCATGGCACGTTGCGCGAAACAAGCGCGTAGAGTTCACTGCAGCTTCAGACAGGCGCCTCTGTGCACAAGCAACATTCCGAGGACTTCAAGGAGCACTGCGCTGGGCCACAGAGCAAAAATCCCGTTCTGGTGATGCATCGCAGCTCGGCTTGAGCTTCGTGTAGCAGTGTAGCGATGGCATCGCGACTGAGTCTGAACAGGAGTGTGTCGCAGTGTCACAGAGTGCCACAGTCAGGATTTGACCCCGCCACGGGACCATGTCTCTGGCAGATGGTGCAGGATATCCCGTTGTGCATCATGTCGTTGAGTCATGTGGGCGAAACTTGCTTGTGCCACATCTTTGCAGGAGCGCCGTCGCGAAGTGGCCAAAGGTGCCACGCGCGACGCAGACTTCTGCTCGTGCTCGCAGCTGCTCGGCAAGCAAGACCAGATGGATCGAATGAGATCTTCGCGCAGAATGTCGTTCTCCACTAGTTTGAACCATTGGCCGCCTTTGGCCATCTTTGGTCTCAGCGCCTTGTCCAAGGCCTTCCAGGCAGGCGCTCTGACTGGCGGCTGTTGAGAAAAATTCGAGATGCCCGGCAGAACAAGCCCTACTTCCCCCTTCAGGCTGATGCCTCCAAGCGTTGCGGTTATTTGAAGTTTGTATGTTCTGGTCGCGGCGGCGAGTTGGCTCAAGCTGGATCTGGGCTGCCGGTGCAGCGATGCGTGGGCGACCGGACGATGTGGACAAAACAATTTGTGTGGTAGATGCTGAGAGCGTGAGCCACATCGCTGGAACGTGCACAGAGCCTCGGCCACTGAATGGTAGCCGCATATTGGAAGCCATACAAAGGCTACAAGCGGAGGGTCTCAAGATCATTCTTGTCAGCCAACAAGACATGCCCCCGTTGATGTTCGATTCTGTCGATTCATCGGCCTTCCTGTACATCAAATCGTTGAATGGCTCAGCCATTGACACGATCCGTACTGCTGCAGATTACCGATGTTACTTCCTCACTTCTGCTGATGCTGCCGCGTTCGAGTCTGACTGGCGCCTCCCGCAGAAGCACCAGATGTGGTTGCACCAGAACCCGGACATGCAGGTGAAGTTTACCTTTTCTCTCGAATTCTTGCCGCTTTTTTCAACAAGTGATCCATCGCAGACATGCCCCAACATGCATGAAGAATGCGACCAGACTGAAATGGTGGGGTCAGAGCAAGGGGTGCTCGAGACGCTGCCGAGCGGATGGATTTCAGACTCCTTGACACCATTAATGGCCGTCCTTCCTTGTCCTGCAGATGATGCCTCTCATCCTATTCTGGCTATCCAGGCACAGGATGAGAAAGACAGCATCGTTCAGCATGCCGTCAGCTTGTCCCAGACTCATATCTACAGTGGGACTGAAGAGAAAGAACTGCGTGAGTGGAGGAAGGATATCAAAGGTCCCTGGTCGCATGACCATATTTCTTCACATCTTGTTCATGTTGCTGGAGGCCGGAACCCACTTCGGGCGGTTGGAGCTGGTGGCAGGAAACTGGCCCGAAGGCGGGCCGCTCACCTGGCTTTGGTAGTTGCTTACTATGCATCGAAATCAACCCCTGCTGTGTGGAATATCGGACCGAAAGACAATCACGAGCTCAACTGCTTGGTCCAGCGAGCAAAAAAGCTGATAGCAAATGCACGGTCTCTGAAGCAGTCCACGGGTACTCTGACAGGTAGTGCTATTGATGAGGAGCCATGTTCGCTGATTGAAATCTCGGAAGACTTCTCATTCACGAGCAAAGCGACCGAGTGGCTGGGAGATCCCAGCGCGGAGTGCAAAAACCCACCAGCACCAAGCCTGGAGCATTTGCACGGGCAACTGAAGAATCAAGTCGTTGTGGCCTTCAAGGCATACTTTGGTGAAACAGGTACTGGGTACTTGAACCTCGCTCCTGGAGACAAGGTGCAACTTCTTCATGAGAACATAGAGGCACCCGACTCCGGAGACACACACACAGGGTATGTCTTCGGCCGACTCATCGGTTCGACGGCGCCTGCCGCCGATCAAGAAGGCTGGCTTCCTACAGATGTAGTCAGGCTTGAGCGCTGAGCAGTTCAGCTGCCAAGGACCCAGGCGCAAGAAAGCCAATGGCGACCCAGCACATGCGCGCAGCATGGAAAAGTTTCCTGGGACAAAAATTGGCAGAAGCACGGAGTCAGTGATATGTTCCAAACCAAACAAACTACTTCTTGGTGCAAAGTTGTTTGCTTGCACTAAGCTTCTTGGTCGCAGGACGTATTGCATGCTACCAGGTTCTGGCTTGGAAGAGTAATCTCACAGTCCTTTTTGTGCTACACTGCGTGCTCGTCTTGTTCCTTGCAGCGACGAAACCTCCGTTGTGCTCTTGTTGCTCTGATGGTTGCATTTTCAGCTTGGCTTTGCTTTGGATGTTTAGTGCCGCAGCGTCAACAAGACACAGAATGGCAAGGAATGAGCACGTTGCCGGCCGAGAATTAGCCGTGCTCGAGGTCCAGCCAGGGGTTATCAAGCCTGCAAAGTCAAGGTTTTCAACAGGACCGGCTGGGCTCCTGGTGCTGTTCATGGTCATTCCATAGCTGGATGACCTGCTCAGCAGAGTACCAACAGCTTGACCCTGACTCCTACGCAGAGTTGTGGGTTGGGTTTGAGGCTTCTTGGGGGTTCAGGGTTGCCTCCCACTCATTCAACCCCATTAAATTCCTAGATGTGTGTGGCGAACCAACCGATGCAAGGGCTTCTACGAGAATCCAACTCCAAAAGGTTATGAGTCGAGCACTACGGCCTTGTCGGCAAGCCAGATGGTCAGTCCACTCCGTTTCCAGCATGTGGGGAATCTCAATGTTCACTCCATGCCGAACTGCAGTATTCCTCGACCGCCGCTCTCAAACCACGTGCTCGCACCAGGGTCACATTCGCCAAACATATTGAAACCATGGGTGCAAGCAGATGCATCATGTTCGCAGTTGTCCAGGAGCAGCGTTGAACAGCTTCTGCTCAGAAATGCACTCTGCCACTTGGATCCCTTACGCATGGCTACTGGGGCTTGTTGGCTTGAGCCATTCTTTTTCTCGCAGCTAGCAGCGAGGCCGACCCGTTGAAGTGCGTGCAGCTGCTGAGATGCCACTCGGCTTGACACGGAGCTCCGAGGTCGGGCGAGAAGTGAAATGCTGAGACTGAGGTAGGCCCGCAAGCTGACCTGTCCGAAGCTTGAGCACATGGTGTCGTGGAAGCCGGTGGCATGTCACCTATTCCCAATCGCCTAGCAGCATTCATTGCCCTTAGTTTGGTCATGGTCGCATGCTTTGGCCTGGATCCGCTGATTTGGCTCCAAGAGTTTTCGCACAAACCTGGCCAAATGTCTGCCAAAGACAGGCCTTGAGAAACTTCACACCGTGGAGAGTATTCAGCGCCATGTTTGTGCAATTGCCAGATACAAATGGAAATTGGGAAGGTTGTATTCGTGGTGAGAGACGACGCCGAAGCGCCGCCACCGAATGAGATCGGGTCCCTTGGAGCAAGGTTGTTCGCTCGTCATCGCTATGTCGTGGATGGTTCTGTGGCAGTCAGCGTCCTCGCCAGGTACTTTCCTGCTGAACCTTATACAAGTTTCGATTTGCCTTGGGGCTTACTGTGTGGCGGTGCAATGCCGGAGCAGTGCAGGGCGTCGTCTTTTGGACTTTGTCATGGCCCCCCCCCCCCCCCCTGAGGCGCGTCCTCATCTCCAGTGGCTCAGGCCTTCGGAAAAAGCACAAGTCCAGTGTCTCCAAACCCCCTGCAAATCGCGCACTGTAGCCTGGTGTGTGCAAGACTGTACAAGGAAGGCTGCAGCATGCTACTTGCAACAGAACTGCAGGTGATCTTGGATGCCGATGGTGTTACAAAAGCTGACCCTCAACATCCGCTGCTACGCAAAGAGACGCAGCCGAGCATGCTTCAGGACTGCAAACCGGTATGCAGACCCGCCATGGCTTCAAGGATCAAATTACTTGTAGCCCTGCTCGGCAGGAATCTTCGCACGGAGACTTGATGCAGGATCAACCAACATCAAGCGGCTTCCTGTCTCAGGTAAAAGTGTTTTTGACTGACGATGGCTGACGCCTTGATGTAAATTTTGCCACCTGAGGCTTCAATAGTTCCTCTGGTCTGTGGAAGGAGATCCGCAAAAAGGCCAAGGTCACGGCTGTCGAACCCTTTTCGGTGATTTGTCCAGAGAGAAGTGGGACTTGCAAGCCGAAACCGGGAATGAAGACATGTCGAGATCTTTTGGAGTGCCCAGCTCAGGCAGATGCACCTCCAGCTGTGGTGTACACGGGACAAACAGCATCAGCTTTTTGGCTTTGGGCGGCGGCTGATTTCGAGTTCCGGAGAGATTAGTTCACCTGCTCAGAGAAGCCAAGGCTGCTGCCACGATCCTCATAGGTACTACGACATGCTTTGCAGCAACTGCATGGGCGACGCAATCAAAAATCAAGCTTGTGAAGGAGGCCGGGGATGTTTTTCAAAATGCTCAGAGTGGGAGCCGGAGTCCCTGTTGCCATGCAGGCATCTTGGCAGACACTGAGCTCGGGCATGGCGATATATTCGGCGTTTCAGCTCTTCTACATTCTTCGACGCCGGGATGCGAACGGATGTTTTGTCTTCCTGCCTGCCTGCGAGTCTCGTGTAAGTAGTCTTGCATGGAGTGGTGCTGGGGGTGGTGCCGCCCGCTGTTGTCTCTGTCTCGGCCACTCATTTCTAAACTTGCAACCACGAGGAGAGGTGACAAACTTGCTTGTGACAGACAACATGGCCACGGAGGAAGTTGCGATGAAAGGATTGAGGCATCGCGGCCGCATGTACTGCAGTTTTGGGAGCCATCGCATGCAGCTGTACATTGCTTTTGTGGCTTAGAAGTATACTACGCCATGCTGTATGCTACGCTACTATTCTGTACTGTGCTCCGCATACAGGTAAGTCGGACTAGCTTGTCGCACATCTGGGACCTTTCGATCAGCCCCGCCTTTTTCTTCGCTGGTGCCTTCTAGCAGAAGCCGCATAGCTGACCCCCAACCCATGCAGTCATGAAACGGTATTTTGAGGTGTGGGGCTTCCGCTCCAGGAAAGGTCCGCGCACGCAAAACGACAAACAGCAGACAGCTTGAGAATCGTTAACACTACCTCGCGGGTGTGACTCGTGCCTTCTGACCAAGGCGGGAAGACACGCCAGTGGTCACCGAAAGCGGCACCGGTTCCGTAGTGGCTACTTGCCTGGTTCAACAACACTCTCAGAACATCTGACGACGTTTAGGCAACTGTGTGAGTGTGTGATCCAGCTTTCGGTGCTGGTACCGTTCTTTGAGGTAGCGTTTTGTCGGTTCGTCTTCGGCTACGCAGCGTTGCAGTTCATCTTGGTGGGGAGCAGGCAGCTCAACAGGAGGTGTAGAGTGTCTGTGTCAGGAAGAAAAGGCAGCCACAGCAATTGGTTGAAAGCCATTGCCCCTTCTGTGTATGAGCCAGGCAGCGAAAGCTGGCGATCCTTGCCTAAGTTAGCCATACGGCATGTTCATGTGTGCAGCCAATCGGCCAATTCGCAAGAGCAGAAATATGCAGAAGAGCTGCTTTAGGATGGAAGTTGCAGCTAGCTTTGGGTCGCAAGTTGTGGGCCTCCTTACAGCAGATGCCTTCGCGACGTGGCAGGAGCTTGCTGTCCGCAGTCCTGTGTACTTTGCATGAAGAGTGCTGGAGAATCAACTTGAGAACATCTGAGAAACGCTCTTTGAGTGGTGTTTCGAGTTTTCGGTGCCAGGAGATGCCGTACTGGAGCACAGCTGGCATGAGCTTCTTGCTCGTTATCATCACTGCTCTGGTGTTGGCCCTTGTGTTGGGGACAACTGCCGTTTTCCGGTCCAAGGCAAGTCACCAACTGATTCGAAAGCTACAGTCGAAAGCCCGTGTTCTGCCCGCATGTACCACAGGTCATCACCGACGAGGAACAAAAGGCCGATGCCTTCTGCCAGAAGCATAAGTGTACCGGTGGCTGGGTGTACAGGCCGAATGCCAGCGAAGCGACGAGCTTATCGCTTCCTTGGGCATTTCGCTGTGCTTTGCACAGAGACTTGGCTGAAGCCGTGCCCTGTCTGGAATCGCTGAGGCAAATGGATGCATTTGTAGCCCAGGTTCTGGCGGTTTCTGCTGGCTGGACGGCTGCCTCACTACCTTGGGGTCCAGCGCAGTGGCTACAACAGATCAGCGACTTGACTTGAAGATGCTCGAACTTAGTTCCAATCGCACATCAGTCTGGCCACGAGAACCGAGGAAACACTGTTCTTGTTCCTCGTGTGGGTCAAGCTCCTCCTGCTGGCACTCACCTTGGATAAGTTGCTCGCAAGGTTTCAAGGACCTTTGCCTGAAGGAGCCCTGCCTTTGGCATGCAGATGTCAACATTGGCTGTTAGTAGGCACGTGGCTTGGGCTTTGGGATGTTCTGGCGAAAGGAGCCGGGAGGATCCAGGGCACCTTCCACAAGTGCATGCAAGCTGCATCCACCATCCCACTTACTCTGGCTTGCGGCCCCAGTCTGGACATAATGGTTTAAGAAGGTCGCCCAGACTTGTCCGGATTCTCAAATCTAGCGAGTTCAGGGAAGTTGAATGAATGTGGCTGCTACCGGTTCGACCACCGACAAAGGCTCTCACATCTGCCTGGTGCTGTTTCTATTGGGCAAAGTGGGCCACATACTTCTTCATGGTCACAGGCGACGTCGTCACAGCAGGATGCACGTCTCACAACAGCATCCCTGTGTGTTTTCGCGAAACCTGAAAACTGCGCCTGCGATGCAGAGTCAGCTGTAAGGAACTTTCCTGAAGGCGGAAATGTATGTAGCAATCATCTTCTCCACTACTGGCTTCGCAACGACTTATGTCACCATGCGTGCGAGGGAGACGCTGGGCCCGGCATTTTTACATTAATCACGCAGACATCTAGGAAATTGTGCTGCGACCTGATTCCGCATCCTATCTGGTGAACCAACAGAGCTCCAGGACACGCTAGCAAGATGCGCGACCAAGGAGATGGCCACAGGTGGCGTCTTCTGTGAAATTGATTTCGGCGAGCAGCATGTTGGTCTTGCAGCCTGGCAAGTTCTACCAGATGTGCCAAGAGTGCGGGCAATGACGTGAGGGATATGTTAGCTGTTTTCAGCGATTCAGCTTGATACATGAGAGTGTCAGGGCCTTGTCATGGAGCAGTGCCTTCCACAGCGCCTGCGCCTTCAGCAAGGAAGCTGGGGTGATCAAAGGTGCTGAGAAACAGAAACACATGTTGCGTGGCAGGACACATCTGCGAGCGAGGCCTTCCAAGTCTTCGATCGCTGCCTTCAGTGCCAATGGATGCAACTCCTTGGCAGTACGACCTTACTTAGGTAAGACAGACTGGCGCTGATGGCAAATGAAAGCTCGGCCGAATATGGAGACAGTCAAATCGTTCTTTCTGCTTTCTGAGGTGCGTTGTCCTGATTCCAATCTGGCAGCTTGTCAGATCAGAAAGCCTTTGCGGGACCAGGTCTTCCTTGCCGTGTCAAGATCGTTGCTTTCAACTTGAGGCTTCAGCTTGTCCTTCCGAATGCGTCAGCAGCGGAGAAGACGGGTCAGAGCGATGCTGACAAGAAGGCGTGATGCAGGTCGTTGTGGCTTGAAGCAGTTGCGCTTCAGAAGCCCAGCACCCAGGCAGAACCAGAGCAAAAAGACCAGGCTCGATAGTGGCTCGATAAACCTGATGTGCCTCATCAAACGAATGGGTCTACTGTGTCATGCATGGTGTGGCAGGCCAGTGCGGACAAGGCTGCTCCCGAAGCGGAGGCGAAACCAGGCGCCGCGGAAGAATGTGTTCTTTGCTCATCTCCCCCAGGGATGCCCTGCGACAACGTTAGCCTTTCCGCTACCTCGCCTTTGCTACCAGTATGAACATCATCGCACGAAACACCGTTGGCAAATTGCGAGAATAATGCACATCTGCCGTGACTGCAGCACAACAAATCTGGTCCGCCTTATTCACGCCAGCTAAGGCTTAGGAGTGTATTGTGATGTGCATGCGGCTTTTGAAGCAGCCTCTCGAACAGCCGACAATCGAAGAAATGCTTCAGCAATTCGAGAAAGTCTTCGCCCACATCTCGAGTAAACTGCGAGGGAAACACTGGACACAGGTCAATCACAGGTCCAGCAACCGACAAGCACTAGGTAACAGGTACCATTGCGACGAGATACAAATGATACATCGATCCTTAAACCTTACTGCTTGTGCCTGCTGGTACTTGCCGATACTCTGAACGACTATGCTCAAATTGTACCAAACAGGCGATGGCCCTGCAGAAAGTCAGCCCGAAGCTCCTGGTGCTGAACAGGCAGAGTACTAAGCAACAACCAACTGTGAGTGGTTTGTTTTGATTGTCATTTTTCGGCGCAGGCAAAGCAAGGTGAGGAAGGCAAAGCCGCAGAAGATGATCAGCCTCGCGTCCGCACTTTGCACCACCCGGCGGTTCAGGGCGTGACGGCCCCTGTGGCCCGGTATAGAGGCGCTACAACATGGCTACAACGTTTGTTCCGCACGGCCCGAGCATGCAAGATCATAGCAAGTCTAGACATTGCGTGACCTTGTGCGCACAACAACTTGAGGTATTGATTCCGACGTGACGCGATGGGGGCTTGAGAGTGGAAAAAATTGCCAGTAACACGTGATGGCTGAACCAGCATTGAGGGATGCTGCAAAGTGTCCTGCACACAGCTTGGCAAATCTCAGTTCAAGCATACCGGTTCTTCGTTGAGGCTGGAGGAGGCATCCTCAGTGCGCTTCATTCGAACAGGCCTTCCCTCGAGAAGCTTTGCATGACAGTCCCGCGTTTGGCAGAATGCGGCGCCAAGACTGAGACTGTGTTGATTTGTAAACGGCGCCTCCGCCGTTGGGCTCTCAGCAATGTCAATGCTTCGCCTGCTGGCTGGGTGGAGCTGCCGCTGTTGCTACGACATGAAGCGGCCTTCGGGCACCTCCGCACGACCAGCACAAGATGCAAAACGCAGGGACTGCAGGGAGGAGTCAGGCCCTGTTCGCATTGCGTGCTTGGGCGACTCCAACACTGTCGGAGGAGGGCTGGGGCAACTCGTCGTCACCCATAGCGATGGGGGAGCTAGACTTGTAGATGCTGCAAGCGCCGTAGAGCCTCCATCGTCAGGAAGACTGGATCCTATCCGGCCCAGCTGCAGCGGCACCTGAATGAAGAGGCAGCTTCACCGGGCCATGCTTTGCTTATGGTTAACATTCTGTTGAACCTGTGGATGCCAGGCCGGTATGGGAACTTTTGTGGTGAAGCCCTTTGGTGTCAACGGGGCAGTCGCAGTGGCTACACCAGGGAAGAAATGCCTCTTGTTCTTGCTCTTATACCAGTCTAGCATTGGCCGTTCAGGCGTATTTCTCTCGTTCTTTCCGGTCCCTGTCCAACACCTGAGTCAAAGCATTAGGCTACGAGCATCAACAACGATGTGCCGATGCGGCGGCATTTGCCCCTCACATCTTTGTTGCTGCTTGGCCCATCTATCCAGGCAGGAAGACAAAGACGCCCGACACTCCGGCTTGCGATGAGGTGATGTTGGGAACAAACGACGCGTGGCATCGTGCCGGGGAGCCGCAGAAGGTTGGTGACAGCATAATGGCATTGCTCGACCGACTGGAGAAGCCCCGGCCTTTGAAGCTCCAACTGCAGCAGCGGTGTCCCTGAGTGTTTCCTGCATGGGGTGCAAGGCTTGCATCGTTGCGTCCTCGCTTGGAGTGTGCAGGCTCAAGCTTAACTCAGACACAGTTACTTCTGCGGGCAAGAAATGTGGAACGGATCCAGAATGCGATGCCGCAACACTGGCGCAGAGCCAGCCCTCAGCACAGCCAGCGAATCAATGCTGATGCAGGCTCAAGCATTCAGGGCCGGAGTGGTTCTAGAAATTCGGGGAAATGACGCAACATGTGGCAAGCCCGCTCGGCCCAGAAGCGGGAAACCGCTATCCAGAAAATACCCCCAGCAGTACCTATGCGTCATGCAGGCGAGCCTGATTTTCTGACCGCTGCAGCACGAGAGCTTTCTCTTCATGGCTTCTATTTGGCCACTGGCGTTGTAAAAGATCTTGAAGCACAGCGACAGCAGCTCTCCAACCAGGCACCAAGAGCCGAGTACAGCAAGTCGTGTTTGGAGCGTGTCGAAACGTAAGTCTTGTGTGGGTGTCAGCAGGGGATCTTCCGACACCCGCATCCTGATGACTGTGATCGACTTCTAGGGCACGACGGCTCATCAAGAATATCGACGTTAAAGATTCATGATTTGGAGGCCTCGCTCTCCGCCACACAGGAGATAGCAGCAGACAGAGTTCCTTACACAGTCGTGCCCTCCACTATTTTCCTCACTGCGTGCCGTGACCTTCGCAGGCTCGACATGGATTGCAAGACACCGCTAACATGCTGCGAGAGGTCATGCTGAGACCGTGATGCAAAGCAGTGGACATCCGGACAAGTCTTTGAAAAGCATCTTCCATATGCTTCCTCTTTTGGTGGATCCGAGGAGCCTGCAGGCCAAACTGGGCTGGGCTGGGCGGATACTGGAGGAGCCTTTCTGAGTACAGAATCTATGCATGTCGAGGCAGTTGTGGCATGGGCTAAAGCATGTTGAAAGTACTTCCCATGACCAGGAAGTGCTGATCCATGAGGGTACCAGCGACGAGAGTGGCGAGGAAGAGCTGCGCCCTCTGGAGGAGCGCCTACCAAAAGCAAAGCAGATATCGCGCTACACCGCTACACCTCTCCACAGGAAGCGCAGCTGCCATGTCTTGCCTTCGTCAAGCTGGCGCTGTACATCTTTCTCGGCCCAGGCCAAGTGGCTGACATCACATTCACGACAGTTCAAGTTGGTGGTGGGAAAAGAAAGGCAAAGAAAAGGTATGGAAAGCTTGAAGATCCCAGACACGGACGAGCCTTCGACGGGAGCGATTCGTGCGAGCATGCGACGACGAAATCCGATTCCAGAGAGTACCTGAGGGAATATGAGGAGAACCGGTGCGTACACACAAGTATACAGTATACACATGCACACACCCCGATGCCAGCGCTTAGAGGCTTTCTCGGTTTTCTCCTCCCATCTCCCTCCAAAGCGGAGATTGCTGCATTCGCTGCTGGATCCCTGGTCGGCACCGGCAAATTCTTGCTTCTAGCTGAGAGGGAGGCCACTGCAGCCCGCACAGCCACAGGCACTCCAAGGCACCACGAGGACAGGTCTCCCCCCGTCTGGCCGTCTGGCCCCTTCAAGTCTGTGCGTGCAGCTAATGAAAGCTATGCATGGATTTGCTCTGCATTTGCTCTGCTGGTCTTTTCGCATTCCTGAAAGCAAAGTCCTACTGCAATCAGATCACCATCATGCGCAAATCATCATAAAACTGGGTCAGGCTCTGGAATGCTGAGAGTGCGTCCTCGTGCTGAAGACAATTCTGGGCCCTTGTACGTCAGCGTCGGGGAAGGCCCGCCCATGCTTGGCAGTTCACCCCAGAACCAGGCCTTCCAGTGTTGAGGTACATTGGCGTTCCTGCGCAGCGACCTTTTGCAGCATTATTTCTCCTCAACAAACGATTCGTCATGGGCCGTCAGTTCTTTTCTGCTTCATGGAGAGAGGCCGGCAAGTTGCTGACTTTCTGCGTGCACAGATTTGAGCCGGCCGAGTCGAGAGGCAGAGTAGATGGTCAGAGTCAGAAGGTCAGGCTGCGCAGCAGTGATGCGAATACCTCCAGCAGTCGCTGCCACGGAAGCTTGGTTTGGAGATTTTCACGGGTACCCACCTGTGATCACTGCCAAAGCGCATGCCTCACCATGTGCTTCCAGGCAGCCCTCTCATCCGATGTGCCAGGCCACTGGAGCAAGGCATCGCCTAAGCTGAAAAACCAGTGTCAGCATGTCAGGCACATGGAAAGTTTGAAAGTGTTCTTAAATGGCCCACTCACATGTTCGTTCTTGAAGGCTGTGGCTTTGTGCAGTCGAGGAGGGGACGCTGTAGGCATTGGAGGCATCGGCTGCCAAGCTCCGCCTGCCTCCGATTTACAAGGCTGCTCGGTTGATTCGGTCCTTGTCCGACACTCCCACAGTTTTCATTGTGCGGAGGCTTGCTCAGCAGCCACACAGCTGGCTGTGATCTTGTTGTGGAAGTTCCGACATCAAGGTGGCAGCATCACAGACATGCCGAGTGGGGTGCCGAATCTGTACCCAAGCAGCTGTGCAAAAGAATGATGATGCAGTACACAAGTCCCTCGTTGAGCGAAGTGAAGGTGGGACCACAGCCTCGTGTACGATCCAAATCCTACATCCTGGATGCAACAGAAGACGTCCTGTCGTCACGGCGCTTTTATGGACGGCGTCGATCTTTTCGACGCAAAGTTCTTCGGCATGTCTGCTCGAGATGCAACGTATACGGATCCTCACTGTCGCAAGATTCTGGAGGTGGGCTATGAAGCCTTGTCCCTGGACATGCAGGTAAACCCTCGATTTCTTGCTCCTAGTTGTACACAGCAGAGCAGGAGGGTGCAGCAACCGAGGTATCACATGGGCTGCACCAGGAACACGCTCAGAAATTCTGATGGTGCTGTCTATGTGGGTGGTGGTAATACTGAAGCCGCATTCGTTGCACTAGATCAAGCACAAGCGTCTCAGATGACAACAGGCCTGGCCCGTGCAAAAAACGAATTACGATGTTGATGAGCATGGAATAGTGCAGCTGTCACTGGAAGGTACTCTATGCATGTGGTCTGGGCGGCTCTCATTCGCACTCGGAATGAAAGGACCAGCCATTTCTGCAGCTTGACTTCGTGGGGTCTGACTAGTACTGAGTGGTGGAGCCATTCGTACAATCTCTGACACATCTTTGAGGTCGCACTGGAAGCAGCCTCTGGGCTGGCGGCGGCTCATTTTGCAGCTCGCGGTTTGGCTGGACAGGCCTTTGCGGCCGCTTGGACTGGATAACATGCTTGAGACTCTCAAGGATGCTTGAGGGTGAGAGCAAATTCTTCGAACAGGAAGACTGCAATGAAGATAATTGGAAAACACACGCAAACATGCAAGAAGTGGTGCTGCAGGTTGCCGTCGCAGCCCACCTGCTGCTATCTCCTACGTGGTGGCCATCCGACTCGCGGTCAATGAAACTCTCCTTGCAAGGCCAGGCGTGCCAGAATGCCAGAGGACATGAACACAGGTGCAATCAGCAACAACCATGAAGGGAAGGGAAGGGGACATATCTATCTGCGCATTGCATGGTTTCACGTCTGTTGCGGATGTTCGACGAGGGGGGGGGGGGGGGGTGGCAGCGTGCAACAAGTACAGGATGCATGATATGCTCATCCCGAAAAATCGTGCAAGGCCGAAACCCCTCAACCCAAACCCAATCGCGCAAGCCCCAAAAGCCTGGCTCGAAACATCTCGAAACCCAAAACCTCTTTTTTTCAGAAGAATCGTGCAAGCCTCAAAATGAAGCGTGCAAGCCCGAATCCCTCAAGCCGCAAAGCCTAAACCTAAAAACCTGAGAACGTTTCTTGCCTATCGTTTGGAAGCGGCACCTCTAAGAGGCCGTGCGTTTAAGCACGTTTCTCCCCTGGGGGGGGGGGGGGGGGGGGGGGCTGCCGGGAGGGGGGGGGTTCCTTGGACTCTAGGCTTTGAAGCTCCTGGCCCTGCTGTTCTCGACTTCTTGCAATTAGAGAAGTTCTGCCTTACCCTAAACCATACACAACAAACAGTGCAAGCTCGAAGCTCTCCGGTCTGCACTGTGCTACAAAGCCCGAATGCATCAAGTACACAACCCTGAAGCCACACACGTAGGCAATCTTCAACCCTCACCTGTCTGCTAGTCCATAGCCGTGCACCCTATCCTAAAACCTCTCTGAACATGCAAATTTACTGTAAATACCAGCCTGTCCAGACCAAACACTTTTTCAATAGTGCTGCTGCTCCCATGCGAAAAATCGACGACGCACGAAAATTATGTTATTTACCGTGGGTTCGGGCCTAAAACATCGGGCCGATCGACAAACATGGGGGTTTCGGACCTGCACTCCAAAGGAACCGCACACAGAAGCATCGAAAACCAACTAGGTTCTGCAATCCACAACCCCCCAAAAAATGCACTGCACATTCGGCGGGGTCCTGAACCGCGCCGTAACCTAGTTATCGGTGTTTTTTGTGGGGGGGGGTAGAACATTTCGTGTATGTATGTATATATACATACATACACAGTTTTTCGTTCCCCAAGACAACAATCAGGCCGCTGCTCGTCCTTTGACCTTTCAGCTGATGGATACGTTCGAGGAGATGGTTGCGTTTCCGTGGCCTTGAAGTATGTGCAGCCAGGGTCAACGAAGTGGACAAGCACTGTGAAGGCCAATCGGCTGAGAACGCGAAAGACGGTCAACTGAGCATCGGTTCTGCTTGTTAGTGTTGTCCAGCGACGAGGACTTGGACCTGCTGGGAATCATCCCTGCTTCCCACAGCAATTCGGATGGGCACGCAGCAGGATCGGGCAGCAGCAAGGCCCATGAGCTGGTGGCTGTAGTTGTGGAAGCTCTGCGAGCGGCCGCATCAAGTGGGGATGAAGTGTCTGCTGTAGAGGCCAGCCATGGCAAAAGCAAAACTCAGAGTCAACACTCCAGAGTAGATGTGCGTAGCTTCAAAGCAAGGGTTTGCCGAATGAGCTTGCGTGGCAGGCACATGGGGACGGGTCACGCCATGATTATCTGGAAGCGTCAGCTCTCCGAATGGGGCACGCCTCTGGTGACCCGAGAGCTTCACCCTCACTGTCCATATTGGCATCGAAAAGCTCCATTGCAAATCAGGTCACAGCTTCACAGCTTGCGCAAGTTGAGCTGCAGTTGGCGTGATTCCGGCGCACTCGGGTTCCGCTGCCAGGTGGAAGCCAGTGGGCTGTCGGCGCTTGTCCGAACAGTTTGGACGCTGCAGAGCGGCAACTCGCCTCCGAGCCTCCATTTGAGAAGGTTGAAGCTTGACAGCAGCTTATTTCTGTAAGATTCTGTAAGTGTAGTAGCCTATGTACAGCCGGCATCGGTCGACTTTGCACTTGTAGCCTAGTCACGCTGCTGAATCGGCCGGTCGTTTTCCAGGTTGTTGTTCGGGTCAATAAAGATACAGCCCCAGGTGTGCCGCATGCGATAGCAAGTGCCACACGGTAAGAGCTATTACTTCAAACAGGGCGCGCTATCGCGCATGCACATGGGTTTCACATTCGGTGCGTTGACGGGTTCCACATGGGTGCTTTGACTTGAGCAAGCCTTGGCACTGCAACACACCTTTCAGGAATGCTCACGTTTTGTGCGGACAGGACGGTCTTGCTGCTGTGTCGGCTGCTCTACTCTTGCACTCCTCGCTGATTTCTTCTGGCAGGAGTGCATGTTCCCAGACTTGACGCTGGAGCTCGCCATGCCGATGGCTCTTCTTGGCACACTCTCCACGGGCTGCGGGGGAACAAATGTGTACATGAACTTCAGCTGCAGATGCAGGGGAATGTGGAAAATGCAGACATGACCTCTACAGCCTTTGGCTTCGGAATCTCAGGCTGTGCTGGGGGGTTCGCGATCATTCCTCGGAAAGCACGAAACAAGAGTGGCAAGGACCGTCATGGTTCGCAGCATTTCTTCCTTCAGCATTCTCTAGATGTCTCTGGCTGTGAACGCTTTCATGCGTTCACCTCGCCAGCGGACGCAAAGATGCTTTGAGTTGCTTCAGGAGGATGCAATCCAAATACTTCAGCCTCCCTAAATCCAAATACTAGCTGAAATTGCCGTATAGGCTTGAATCCAGGGCTCATCTGCAAACCCTATGGGTTTCATTTGTAGGACATGGTAAGTCCTAACATGTTCGAGTGTATGCTTCATTCATGTTTCAGGGGCCGTTCTCTTGCCAGCTGGTTACAGTATTTCAACAAGCCGATCAATTAAGTGTATGCCATTCGGAAGCGACCCACCGCAAAGCCCGGGCTACGCACACTAATGAAACTTCAGGCACTTACAGTCTTCCTGAAACGTCGGCGAGCCGCGTTCAGTCTGCCAAAAGCTTCAAGGACTTAGGACTTAGATGCACCAGAACTACCGAGTGGCAAGAGAAAGAGAAGGCATGAAGCACGAGTCCTTCACCGTAAACCCCAAACAGGGCTCGGGGAGCCTGAGGGCCTGAGTATCCTAAGCCCTCAAGCCTAAGGTATGTTCGGGTGCTTGGCATTAGTGTGTGTGTGGAGGGTAAGGTTCCCAGACCTCGGTAGGAAAAGTTGAAAAGGACCTTGAGTAGTTGGACCGAATTCTCGCAAGTGAATCGATCCTTTTGCTTTCCAAGCCGGCTTGGAAGCACCGCCCAGAAGCGCCTGTCTGCCCTGTTCGCAGTCTTCGAAGGGTCGCAATGCCTAATTCAAGAATTTGGAGGAACAACAAACCAGGAGGAGCCCTTCAGGAGGTTTTCTTCTAGACGCCTTTGCTCTTTTGATCTCTTTCCACTTTGCGACCTCTCATGCTGTGCAGGAGGAAGGCTTCCTGATATTGATGACACCTTCAACGATTGACAAGCACAATCCACGTGCCACTTTTCCCCAACATGCTGCCCACCGCGGTCGAGGCAGCCAATGGACGTTTCAAGCAGCACCGCCGACCCGTCCGACATGATGATGGAAACCTCTGCGCTCGAGAGCTTCATCCACATGATCGAATTCCCGCAGATGGCAGCACATCAGCATCATGGCAATGGTGGCTGCGGGCCTGGCATCCAGCAGCCTCCGGGCCTGAAGAAGTGTGGATAGCCGAGGCAGGGCAGGGAACAGGAGGGCAACAGTGAGGCAAGCAAAATAGCACAAGTACTTCTTAAAGAAGCGCAAGCAAAGAGTACCCGCCGTTTGCATGCAAACGGCGAGGTGACTGCCTCAATGACAGTTTAGCGGCTTTGGCGGCTAGAGCTTGTTGAAGCTTGTCTTTTTTTTACAAGGAGGGCGAAGACCTGGTTCTGACAGCCAAAGCACAGCACAAATAAGCGAAGCCAGAAGCTTGCTAAGCACCAGAGCGGCAAGAGCATGAAAGTGCAATGCACAAAACGGAAAGGCTCAGAAAAGAGAGAGGAGGCATGAGGAAGCCTGGCATTCATGGCCTGTGCAGGGAGTTCCCCTGTCAGGCGATCGAAGTGGCGAGCAATCGGATCCTGGAGGAGATTGTTCTGCTTCTCAGAGGGCTTTTTTTACCCATGGCCACCAAGGTCACGGCCTAGGAGACCTCTCCGGGGCATCAAGCGACATCAAATGCTCCAATGACCCAAAGTGGCAGCGCAAATTTTCCTCCTGCAAAGTGCTCAATGTTAGCACCACAGGCACTTCCAGCAACTGCTCTTGCCCCGGCAAAAGAAGCATGCTTCGCCATCAGTGTTTCCGAATGCTGTCAAGATCTTGCAAGCTGGGAACCGTGAGTTTGCCTTGCCTAGCACTGGCAACTCAGCCGAGGGCCAGAAGCCCACTGCCGTTGAATAGAAGATGTCCCTTCTTCTTGGTGCTACCTCCCGGGGTGCCGCCGGCCAATTTTCAGATTTGTTCATGTCGCCAGCGTGCTTACTATTTGCTTCGGATGACTTGCACACAAAGTGAGGCAAAGGACGGCCGCCTTCGGGATAACTTGGCACAACACGTGCATCCCGAGCTGCGACGGGTAGCGTGACTTGGCCTGCTACGACTCAAAGAAATGAGTACGTGAACACTTCGCTGGCGCTGAATCATGTTCTGCGGCGTGTCCACTGCCGGCCCAGGAAAGCAAGAGCCGACACAACATTGGTGGACGTACTCGTCTCGAGCGATGGGTATCGTCCAGATGCTGTGCATCTGTCGAAGCAGGGAGCCTTGCCAGTTAGGTTCTAGATGCTACGCAGATACACAGGTAGTAATTAGAGCTAAAGACAATTAGAGCAAGTGCTCCTGCTCATGTCATGGCTGAACGTATGCAGCTCAGGCGCAGGTCAAGTTGCGAGCAGCGTCGCCACTGCCATACTGAGATCCTGACGAGGGGTGCTTTGCTTCTTCCAGCTTACGCGGCCTTGTGGGCTCGTGTTTGGTGGTTGAACGGTCGGCCACGGACCGAAGCATTGCTGCGCCATCCTGAAGAATTGGTTCAACAGCTTGACAGCTTGAGCCTTCCACTGGTCTCGGTTGACTTCGGCATGTCAAAGCTGCTGAAGATCCCGTCTCGGACAGACCATTGCGAAGCCACGCAGCCTAGAGCCCACCTCGACTGCATGGGTGGTCTGACGTTCGCAGGTCTTATGCGCTCCTTCGCTGCTCGCTGTCATCCGAAGATATCCGAAGGATAAAACGGCGACTGCTTGCAAACATTGTTTATTGTGTACGTGCCCTTCTGGGTTTGACGCTGTTGGCGTGTTTCTGTCAGGTTGCCCACTTCAAACTGTGGTCCAAGAATGGCCCAAGAATACATGTAACAGCTAGCAGCTAGCAGGCATGGCCACAGGCATGGTCAGCTGGAGGAATGTGTCGCTAGTGGCACTTCTGTCAGTGATCGCCTATAATTTTCACACGCCCTTCTCCGTTGCCAATCTGGAGCCATCGCTGGTCGGCAAGGCCTGTGGCCAACTCATACGCAGAGCCAAGCATAAGCTTTGCCATGCCGGCATGCCCTTCCCCTGACAAGGTCGCCATCGTGACCGGAGGAAGTCGGGGCATTGGCAAAGGCATCGCAATTGGTTTGGGCGAAAGTGGCGCCACAGTATATATTACAGGTGGGAGATGCATCAGGAACACGCACGACATCCAAGGACTAAGAGAGTCAGTCGGCACAGAGAGAAATAGAGAATGCAGGTCGCACCTTGACCTCGAACTCAACCAACACTGGCGGGCCTGCTGGGGCTCCGCAAGCTGGGACGCTTGAAGAGACATGTGCAGAAGTGGTGAAGGCCTCGTGCCGAAGAATGAGTCATCTCGTTCGGAAAGATCACGCTCACGTAATTACATGCAGCCAACGCTGTCAAGGCTGGCGGCCAATGTATTCCGGCTGCTGTTGATAGTGGAAACGATGATCAGCTGAGACAGTTCATTGATCAGGCCAGCAGGTTCGGATGTGGCTTGTCACCAGGCGTGGAACCCGTCTTCACACTGCAGGTCATTCAGGACCATGGCAAGATCGATGTCCTCGTCAACAATGCATTCAGCGCAGTTTCATGGCTCCCAAAGCACGCTGGCAAGCCCTTCTGGGAGAAAGGATGGGACTTGGCATGTTCCCGCTGGTATGTTGGAATCGTTCGTTGGGGTCAACATGTTGAACACCTAAACTGGCTCATACGGCTGCCCTGAGAGGTGCTGATGCTTGGGATGCCGTGAATCATGTTGGGCTGCGCTCACATTATCTAGCCAGTGTGCATGCAGCGCAGCACATGACCAAAGCCAAATCTGGGCTCATCATCAATGTGGGATCGCTCGGTGGCATTAGTGCCATGGTGTACAAAATCACGGCATAGAACCCTTTCATCCACAAACGTCCGAAGCAACCTTTGCACGCCCGGGCATGTGTCGTCAGACTACATTTTCGACGTTGCCTACGGAATTGGAAAGGCGGCAATGGACCGCATGGCAAATGACATGGCCATCGAGTTGGCAACCGACAATGTCACCATGATTTCGCTGTGGCCTGGGATAGTCGCGACGGAGAGCCCTGGACTTCATAAAGAAGAAGCCATTTGCAGATGTTCCGCCGGCGCATGCGTCGCACGTGTTAGCACGTTTGCATGCTGCAGGCATGTAGCAAAAAGCCCCAAGCTGATGAGCGAAAGTCACTTTCCAAATGGAATAAGCAACCAATTGCTAGGGCAGGAGTATGTTTACACAATGTCTGTTGACTCGATTGTTACTCTTCTTTTTATTCATGGTCGAATCAGAAGGACATCCTATTCAGTAGTACTTCAGTACTACACTTAGTCTTTCAGCAACTGCAGCACGTTGGCGGGCTGTCTCGAATGTGAGGAACGTTCAGGATGGAGCTCTCGCACCCGAAGACTTGAAGGAGCGACGTGGACTGGCACCAGGGCCAAAGCACCTCGGCTTCTGCCGACCTGGCTGACCTTCATGCAGGGAAAGTCAGGGGACGTAGCGGCGAGAGTCTTGTTCAGCACATTCCTGTGCAAGTCGCAAGGGTGGATTCGGCTTCACTGGTGCAAACCCCTTTGGCAGAGACGCCACTCTTCGTGGGCCGGGCAGTGGCAGCATTCGCACGTGACCGCACGAAGTTCGGTTTCAGTGGGAAGGCCTTCGCTTGCAAACCGGATCGCAGCATCGTTTCGTTGAGAAGTGCGGAAAGTGTCAGACCACTACCGCAAAGCTTTCCTTCCAGATCTTAGGGCCTTAGAGTCTTGAAACCGCAGGTTCTTCTGCCGGCCTTGATGGCAGCTGGCTATGGTTTTGTGGATGAGCGTGGCTTGAGAACCCCACCTCCCAACTCGCTCAAGTCTCCGGGCTCAGCGTGCATCATTGTTTGACTACCCTCGATTTTTTCTTATGGGGGCTCATGTGCATTGGCCGCTATGTGCTACCTTGTGCTACCTTGTGCTACCTTTGTGCTTGTTTGTTTTCAGGTTTGCTGCTTCAGTCGCATTGCAATCAACACTCAAAGACCAGGGCTTGCTCGCCGCCGCTTGCATGCAATTCAGACAGGCATTCCAAGATTGTGTTCAAGAGGCTTCTTCCCACACTTCACGACTAGAGTGCGAGGCGCCCGTGGAGCTGTTTAAGCCGAGCCAGCCCAGCGCCAACATGGAACTTTACTGGAACAGGCTCCCAAACCTAATCATCCCTGGCTTCGTCTTGAAGCTTCCTGGCTTCACTCTGACAGGTTTGCACCGACCAAAATGCTTTGCCCTGTCAGCAAACCGAGGCTCATGGCTGGGGCTCCGAATTTGTAGCATGAGAAGCAGGTTCCAATTTTGCTGCTGCATGTTTTGCACATGCTGTGTAAAGAAGTGCAGGGTGCAGGACGAGTCGCACATGCAAACAAGTCCGGCGGTGGCACCTGACACCCATCTCACCAAAGCAGCTGAAAACAGTTCAGCTCACGCCCTGTTTGCGGGCCCATTTTCGAGGGTGTTTTCAGGACTTTATTTGCCTGGCATATACCCTCGTTTTTCGGCAAATTTTCGTAAGCTGCAAATGGACGCCACAAAGGATACGTGCCGTGACAAAGCAATCTGCGAACTGAAGCCGCGAGCCGTCTTCCACAGCACCCGATTGACCTGAGCATGAAAGCGGCTCTGCCAGAGCCTGACAGGCATTTTCTCGCTTCCTACAGCGAGCCCTCTCGAGGCGCCGCATGCACAGCTAGTGGTGCCTTTCGCACCAGACTGCATGCCACGTGGGTCCGGCATGTGCCGGCTGGCTGTTGATCATGAATGGTTCCATTCAATTAAATTGGTTGATGCACTCCGCAGCTCTGATTTGCTCAGCAGCGCAAAGGGGTTGCAATCACCATGGCTTCGATGGAAAGCCAGCCACCCAGCCTCTCTGAGCCGCAAGGGGTGCGTGTTTGCGCGCATGCGTGCGTGGATGCGAGTCACCCCACGACATGCTCCCATCGAACAGGTGATTTGTGGGAAGCATATCTTTCAGATCGCTCACCCTTGACTCATATCTGTTACATTCTTGGCTATGAAAGCAGCGGGACTTGGGCCCTGAATCTGTCACGAGTGACAGCTATCCATCGCTTGAATCACTTGTGACGTTATTCCACACATCTTCTCAGCATTTGTGCTGAAAGTCGCAGTTTCTCTGTGCGCACGCAGGGTTTCGATTGATGGGCCTGCTCAGTTCGGCTGCAGTGCGTCTGACTATCTGACTAGAATTTGCGAAGGATGTGGCTCCCTCCCTCCCTCCTCTTCCCTGCTTTCCCTCTTTTCCCTTTTTTCCCTCTCTCCTCTCGCTCCTCTCGGTCTCGCTTCCCCTCCCCCTCCCCTCTTGACTCTCCGACAGAACCACAGTGAAGTGATACCAAGAATAGCCTCGGTTGGCAGCCGAAACATGACCCAGTCAAGGCATGTGCAGGGGAGCTTACATGAACCTAGCTTTCCACTCAGGTCCGCTGAGATGGCTCTTTTTCGGGTGTGGAGCAGTTGGGGGATACTTTGGTGCTCGGCTGGCGCAGCCTCTCGGCAGATCGATTGGGTAGTTCCACTTTTGCCAACTTGCTGGAAACGAATGTTGCAGCATCTTGCAGGCGTTTGTTTTTTCATGACTGTCTTGGCACGAAAGGAAGAAGCAGAAGGTCAGCTTCATGGCAACTGCACTGCAACATATTGCAGCAATGTGGAGTCGCAAAAGTTTGTTTCGTGCAGACTTGCCATGGCCATGACACAGTTTCAGCTGAGGTGAGGAAAGAAACCCTCAGAGTTCTTTCCAGTGACGGCGTCCGGGTGCCCCACTTGGAAAAGCCTGAGTCAACAAAATCCCAAAAGAATGAAGTACGGAGTGATGCGGAGTGCAAGGTGCGAAGCATTTGCGGTGATGTGCACGTCCCTCGGGCGGACCTGGACCAGGCCATGGCAGCAAAGCAAAAGAATCGTAAAAAAGAACCAGAAAGAGTTCAGAGCCGTCTGGCTCGATGTTTTTGTCTCCGCCGATTCTGCAGGTAATGAACACGGAAGCATTGGACAAGGAACCGAAGTTTGACGCTGACGTCATTGTCCTCGCCTGCAAGGCAGCAGGACTTAGTCACTTAAGTCTAGTGGCCAAACACCCAAACTGGGATTGCGAGAGTTGAGGCCTGGGAAGTGGAAGGATGCTTAAAGATGTGTCAGCCCTGGTGCGGGGCCAATACGCTTGCGCCATGGATGCAGAGGGAGATGAGGGAGTTTCGCTACTTTTGTCAGTTTTGTGGCCCCGAGAGAAGCTGGCTCTTCTTGTTTTGTCGTTATTGTTGTTTACCCCCTCAGGTGCTGCCGCTTCAGAACGGCGTCGATGCTTTCAGCACGGTACGAGGCATTGTTACGTCGTGGGGGAAGGGCCGGCCCTTAGTGGGCTGGTGCAACATCGTCGCCGCCATCCAGGACTCTCGCAATCATATGGGGCCAAGGTCAGGGCACGAGCTTGCAGCCTTCTGGCCAAGGAGCCTGGCATTATCAAGCATTGGGCCGCAAGCCCACCCTGCATCTACTTTGGTGAGTTTGAGGCTTGCCCGAGCATGGAGCCAGCATACAGTCTAGTTTGCAGTACTGGTAGCCTGCAGTCTCATCCTTGCAGTCCACTTTGCACAGGGCGCTCCATCATCGAGGACAAAGCAAATGGAGTCTATCCTTGCTTCATGCGACGGCACGGCAGGCAGGATCCCATTGCTTGAGTCTTCAAAATGGAATGCTTCGTTTCGGTGCACACCTCGTCCAGTCTCATTGGAAGAAGATGCGCTCTCGAAATGCTGGGATGCTTGGCGGTCGTTTGAGGCATCATCTCCGTCAGCCTTTGGCCTTATGCTTAAGCCTTTAGTGCTTCTCGTCCAAGCACGGCTTGACGACAAATAGCCTCAGGAGAAATTTTCCTTCATCTGTGCGACGACGGCGGTCCAGGCAACTGCCGGACCTACCGCCACGCAGGATCTGATCCCGCAGGCAGATGCTCACAGGCATACATCCACTGGCATCCGCTTGCCACAACGCCAGGTCCCTGAGCTTGAGCAGATGTGGCGCTCTGCAATGGAAGAGATCATTGAAATTGCTCCAGTCTCGGTTGCTGTGAATTTCCTTTTGCTCCTCGTGGCATCGAAACCACCAAAGCCGAGGCCAGGAAGAGCGGCATTGACTACCAGCAGTCCTGGATGGACAAGCGCAGCCAGACTTCCAGCGAGAGGGGCCAGTGTAGGGGGCGCTTCTCGGGCGCTTCAGCTTCATCTTTCAGTTGGCTGCTAAGGCATCCCCGTCCTGCGAGATGCCATTGGTGCTACAACCAGCTGCAGTCGCGATATTTGGGCTGGCAGGCATCCCCGGGCGACAGAACATTGCGGGCTGCTGTTGAGCAGACAGTCTGAATCGTGGTGAGACTTGTGCTCCGCAGCAAGGCAAAGCGAGCTGGAAGATTTGCTTCTCGGTCCTGAGATCTTTCAGCATTGAGGCAGGAAAACAGCCAGCAGAAGTATTCGCTCGACATCCGTGTACAATATTGTTGCTTCCACAATCGGCCGACTGCAAAAAGGCAGGAAAGAAGGCGTAGCTATGCTTCCGTACTTAGGCTTGGCTCTGCACATCGCATGGGCCAAGAGAAGGGCGTTGAGACGCCAGTCATTTCTACTTGCCTTCGAGCACTGTTGGTGACAGCCGGCTGCAATTCAGCTTCCCTTGGAATCCTTCACGAAAGTTAGCTTCTTGAAGCGTGCGGGAGTTGCCGTTTGCCAATTCATTTTTCTTATCTTTCTCTCTCTTGCTCTCAAGTGTTTCAGGTTGGTCCGAAGGCTTCCACGGGCTTTAAGTGGGATGAAAAAGATGGGTCAAAGGTGTGGGAGGGGGGAGGGGGGGCATCGGAAGGGGTGGGCTGCAAAGCGCCTCGTTGTTTGTTGGAACGCACCCAAAAGCTTGCTTGTTGCAACACGCAAGCAGCATATCGAGTTAAGCTATCGAGCTAAGCAGACATATGCTCACACTTGCAAAGATTCGTACATGCTCTCCGCCACTCAAATGTTTTGCATGTGCGCAAGCTTGCGCCGCTGCGTGCGTCGAACACACTATGTGGGACAGTGGCAATTCGTGTAGCCTGGCAAATATGCGGCGATGGAGTGAGCTGAAGTAGATGTAAAAGATTGTCTAGCCTTGCGAGACGCTTCAAGCACACCGCACGACGTGTTTGCTTAGGAGGACTAGGAGCACGAGCAAAGGCAGGGAGCGTTCTCTGTGGCAAGGCGAGATCGGTTGGCAAGAAGGGAAACGACATTGCCGATTTATCCCATGCTGGAGGGCCAAAAAATTCTTGGGACCATCTGACGCTTTGCTGCACACGCCAAAACTGCAGAAATGCCATGGGCTCTTAGCAACCATAAGCAGCTTCACGTGCAATAGCTAGCATCTTTCATAGCCCGGATCCAAAGGTCTGCGTTGAGGGCTGGCTTAGTGCGATCATTGATTGTTGTTGCGGTTTGCTTTGGGAACCCAGACTGGCGCTGTCCACAAGCTGCCGCCGTGTTTGGACAAACCTGCTGCCGCACCAGCCCAGGCAACCATCGAGGGCAGCAGCTGCCTGCAGATCGAACCCTGGAACAGAAGAAAGCAGAGGAGCAACCTGTCATGAAGGATCTGTTTCTGAGCCTGTATCTGTATGAGTGCAGGCTCAGAACAAAGGGACGCAGTACAGCAGAGCATGCTTGCCAGACAAGGTACTTGAGGCCCGCCTCCAGGATGCAAAGAGAGAGAGAGAGAGAGAGATGATAGACAGGAGGTGCTCTTGCGGCCTTTACCTTTTGCCAATAATCCTCGGTGGATCAAGGAGTGGTTCGTGTGTCCCATGAGCTCTGCTATTGCTTCGGGTGGCCAATGCGAAGTTCCGGAAGGTGGCCAAATGCTTTGGGAGGCAGAGCTCGGCGCCGCCAGCCGTGAATGTTCAGGGGTGCCGTGTTGTGTGGATGCTGGCAATGACACACGGCATGCATCGGTTCTGCGTTGATAAGAATGCAAAGAAGGTCGTTATTTCGCATAGCTGCAGCTCGGTTTAGCATTGAGTGATGGGTCGGCTGCCGCAAGTCGTGCCCTTGTTGCCATGGGCTCCGTCATATGGGTGATGCACGCTAAGGCGAAAATCTTTCGCCGGAACAGGCGATGGACTATGTCGGTGGCTACTGCATGGTACTGGACTTGACTGCAGGAAATCTTGGTCTCTTAACTGCAAAATGAAGTCAGCACCACAGCTTTGCAAGGAAGCCCGCCAAGTGCAGACCCGAATTTTAACGGACAGAACTGTCAGCATAAGATGGGGAGGGATGGTCCGTGGGGCGACTGAGGCTTCGAATCCATGAAGCATCGTGCCTGCACAGTTTGCATTCAGAAATGCCTACGTTTAAGGTGGTTCTTCCCTCAGCACCTCAGCTAAGGTATGGCCACTCTTGGACTCGAAACAAGTGCCAAAACACGTTCAAGCCAGTCGCGGGCCTGACTTTTCCGAAGCTTTCTGAAAACGCCTGCCTCGCTGGAGTTGTTGAGCTCAGCTAGAGCAGCTAGAGCAAACACGAGGTGGGCGCTTTCATTCCTGCATCAGAACTTCCAAAGCCAGAGTCTGTACGAGTGCTTTGTCGTGTGAATGGGTGCCCTGGCCATTCCTTGTACTCCTGTCTTTCCGTTCTGTATGTCCACAAGTCCAAAGATGAGTCCACGGGAGTGCGGCCCTGGTCAAAGGAAGACGGTCGCACAAGATGCGACCGACAGGATGAAGTTCAGCATAGCGCAGCAGGTTGCCGATGTGACCCGACACATGAGTGGTCCGAAGCCAGCACAACCAATGGACTGCTTTGCGAATGAGCCTGTTTCTGTCGGCTTACGATCATCGTGCTGTCCTCAGCTTTGAAACTCAGGCCAGCGAGCTGACACCCTTGCGAAGAGGCGACATACTCCTGACTGGTGCAGGCCCATCAGGAAGCCATAGTCCATGCAACCTTGGGCAAGCCGTCGGACACGTTGCATAGGGAAGTGGAGAGCATTCAGGTGTACCTAGCGCCGGCCCGGTAGGTGCAGACACCATGCCTGGACCCTGTAAGATAAGTGTTGCCTCTAGGGGGTTAGAGGGTTCCACACACCCAAATTTCCCTAGACCCCCAGCGTGTGAAGAACCCATCCCGTGCGAAACCTGAGACAAACAAAAACATGTGAGCTGTCAAACCACAGGGCCAAGTCATCCTCATCAGGTTTTTGGGTTCAAAGTTTCTTAATCCCAAAGCCTGACCTATTGTTACTACTACGACTGCTACGACTACTATCACAACGCCTCCTCCTCCCTCCTCCCTCCTCCCTCCTCCCTCCTCCCTCCTCCCTCCTCCCTCCTTCCTCCTCCTCCTCCTGCAGCCGCTAGATATGTAGATGGCCTCCCGTCGGCGAGGCTCACTGGGCCCCCTTGCAATTGGTGACGTGGTTGAGGGAGCCATTGAGGGTCTGGACCCAAAGTACACTGTGAGCGCTACACTGGTAGAGCAGCCGAAAAGGCGGAAGATACATCACTCGAAGCTTTAAAAGCTGGAGCCGGCGTATGGCTCGAAGTCTTTGAGCTAAAGAAGCCAGAAAAGTGCCAAAGTTCTCACAAGCACTACTGGCTGCAATTCTTGAGCGCCTCCTGTAGAAATCAAGTAACGGCGTACCATGTACGCCGTAATTTTGCAGACAGGAAGTACTCCGGACGGACTTAACACTCTTGGCAGTCAGTTGTCTCAAGCTGGCTGCAGTCCGAGCACATGTCGCAGATGTAGTGACGGCGCTGCTTTGGCGCCATCACTTACGTCAGGTGAAGCATGTGACACAGCTTCCGGAAAGAATCCGACCGTTGCACGTTTGAGTTTTCTTCGTGGGCAGCAGTGCGTCATAGTGCCATGACACTCCCGTCAGGTCAGTGGCGAGAAGCGACGACGCCGAGAACCAGCACGGACATGCTTTCGTCGGGGAAGCAGTTGTGTGCTTGGGGTGTGCTCGGCCATCTCAGCTTACTGAAGGCAGCACGGACAAGAGGGGAGGTGGAGTGGATGTCGAAAAGCGAGCTTTGCCAGCCGAACAGATTCCCTTGACGTGTCCAAAGTGTGCACCTCTCACCTGTATTCACTTGTGGGGCAGAGCGATTCGTTCTGCAGAGGCTTCCTTGGAAAAGTGGATGCCGTCGCGCCTTGCTCAGCCATTAGGAGATACTCAACCCTCCCATCTCGCAAAAAAGGGGTTTCGCCATGGCTCGGAAAGTGGCTTCCTGCTGCCTGGCCGCTGCATCGGCCCTGCTGCTGATTGCCCTGCCGACCGCGTTCATCCCCTCGCCAGCAAGACAAGGTGCTGTTGCCGCCGCTGCTGTGGCAGCAGGCTCTGCCACCCTGCCTGCTTGGGCTTATGACCCGCAGATGACGGACGCGCAAATCTTGCTGGCACGTGTCCCCGGAGGGAAGCGCACTCAGGAGCTGGGATTGGTCATCCCCATGGCTGACGAGGATGGCTTGACGGATGGACAGGTTGCAGGCCTGTTCGTCATTGCCTTGGTCGTTTTCATCTCCGCCATGGATCTAGCAAAGACCATGTACAACGGCATCAACCCGGCCAAGTTCAAGACCAGCAAGGGCAAGGGCTACATCTCCCCTTTGGTGAAGCGCTACATCGAGAACGGGTTCTGAGCATCTCACCTGTTTGTATGGGTCACGAACCGCGGCCTCTTGCTCGAGTGCAAAACATGTGCATGCATTTTCATGTTTTGACGTAACCAAATCAAAGTCACATGACAAAACCACATTCACAATTGATTACAAGCTGCTGCATGGCACGAATTGCAGACAAGTGCACATGCCGGTTCGTTGCTCACGGGTAGTCATTTTTGGATCTGAGTGACGACCCTGACCCTTTCCCGTTTCTATCCGTCTCCTATTCCAGCACCATGGCTCGGAAAGTGGCTTCCTGCTGCCTGGCCGCTGCATCGGCCCTGCTGCTGATTGCCCTGCCGACCGCGTTCATCCCCTCGCCAGCAAGACAAGGTGCTGTTGCCGCCGCTGCTGTGGCAGCAGGCTCTGCCACCCTGCCTGCTTGGGCTTATGACCCGCAGATGACGGACGCGCAAATCTTGCTGGCACGTGTCCCCGGAGGGAAGCGCACTCAGGAGCTGGGATTGGTCATCCCCATGGCTGACGAGGATGGCTTGACGGATGGACAGGTTGCAGGCCTGTTCGTCATTGCCTTGGTCGTTTTCATCTCCGCCATGGATCTAGCAAAGACCATGTACAACGGCATCAACCCGGCCAAGTTCAAGACCAGCAAGGGCAAGGGCTACATCTCCCCTTTGGTGAAGCGCTACATCGAGAACGGGTTCTGAGCATCTCACCTGTTTGTATGGGTCACGAACCGCGGCCTCTTGCTCGAGTGCAAAACATGTGCATGCATTTTCATGTTTTGACGTAACCAAATCAAAGTCACATGACAAAACCACATTCACAATTGATTACAAGCTGCTGCATGGCACGAATTGCAGACAAGTGCACATGCCGGTTCGTTGCTCACGGGTAGTCATTTTTGGATCTGAGTGACGACCCTGACCCTTTCCCGTTTCTATCCGTCTCCTATTCCAGCACCATGGCTCGGAAAGTGGCTTCCTGCTGCCTGGCCGCTGCATCGGCCCTGCTGCTGATTGCCCTGCCGACCGCGTTCATCCCCTCGCCAGCAAGACAAGGTGCTGTTGCCGCCGCTGCTGTGGCAGCAGGCTCTGCCACCCTGCCTGCTTGGGCTTATGACCCGCAGATGACGGACGCGCAAATCTTGCTGGCACGTGTCCCCGGAGGGAAGCGCACTCAGGAGCTGGGATTGGTCATCCCCATGGCTGACGAGGATGGCTTGACGGATGGACAGGTTGCAGGCCTGTTCGTCATTGCCTTGGTCGTTTTCATCTCCGCCATGGATCTAGCAAAGACCATGTACAACGGCATCAACCCGGCCAAGTTCAAGACCAGCAAGGGCAAGGGCTACATCTCCCCTTTGGTGAAGCGCTACATCGAGAACGGGTTCTGAGTAGTTGAAGCTGCTGTCGCTTCACTTGCGTGTAGCAAAGAACAAACACCAGCATCTCCAGGGCCAAGCATGGAAGTTGTGCTGGAGTCCCGATGCTTCTACTGCTATTTCTCGTAATGGCATCAAAGGTGTCAAAGGTACTTCTGCTTCATGGCCCCAAGGTCCAAGATGGTACATCCAACAGTCATCAAGCACAAGTTTCAAAAGCAAGCACCTGCTGTCGCAACCCCTGGGCCCGTCTTTCATCCCTTCACGAAACGCGAGACAGCACGTAGCCTGAGGTTCACGCCTGACTCATGGGGTTTCTGAGCGGCTATGGCAGCGATGAATCCTCGTCCGGAGACGGACAAGATGCCGAGAGGCCTGGATTTGCTGGACTCACCGTCCTGTGCTACAGACATATATAAATAGATGCATATATATATATATACATATACATACCAGCTTGCATGGTCAAGTTCATTTTGCTGGTTTGTTACAAGGCCCAAGCCTGTGGAACTGAAGCACACCATATCGAAGAGCTGCATCATGTGAAGTGGTTCGGAAAGAACCAGGTGGAGAAGCAGCTTGCAAGTAGTGACACATTCTATCAGCGCATGCAGGCGCCGCGTCATACGTAAGCGGCCAAGTCATGTGATGCCCTTCGGTTTGACATGCTGTTGAGACTGGCACAGAAGAAACTTCGAAGCCACAAATTGAAGTGCTACTCGCAAGGTCTGGACTACTCAAGGCTCCCGGTGTCACGCCCACTACCTCTTGCAAAGCAAGCTGCAGACCATGACCAACAGCTGCCTGATCAGCAGGACGGGAGACATCAACAGTGAAGTCTGATTCCCTGTCTAGACATGGCCTGGCTCGGGATATGGGATCATGACTTGCACCCGCCTGCTAGGTTGAGGGCGTTCCGAGTTTTTTGCTCTGCACTTGAGGCGGCTTAGGGCTCGAGGTGGAAGAGCGGCGGCTCACCTTGAACTCCAAGCCATCCAAAAGGAAGAAAAGGAAGAGCCACACAACAGGAAACCAAGACATTCAGAGGTCATCAGAGGTTCACATTTCCATTTGGGGAGGTCTGGCCGCACGAAGAAGACCCACCCAGAATGCAAAATTTTGTCGGCGAAGGCCCCAAATAGCAAGTTTTCACAAAAGCGGTTGCCAAGTAGATTTCCTCGGCATGCGACGCATGTCCGATGGCAGTTGGTCGCAAAACACCAATCTCTTTCTAACTTTGGGTTTGGTCTGGTTCGGTGCTAACAGACATGACCCAAGGGACATGGAAGACTGGAAGACAGGATGCGCGAATGCGTTTTTCAGGCCTGAGTCATGCATCTTGGTTTTGCTTTCGGCCTTTACAATGCCATGCTCTCTTCCAAGACCTCAATGCCCCTGAACTGCCCAACCCTCAACTTAGCCTCCAACGGTGTTTAGGAGGGAAGCGAGTTTGGGGTTCCGGCATTCGGGCTGAGACTGGGTTCAAACACCTTCCTGGCTTTAGGAGGGACGACGACATGTAAGAAGCTAGTGTTTGGTTGGCCTTTGCAAACGTAAGTGGCATCTCTCGATGAGGAGGAAAAGGACACAGAGGCAACAAGCGAGTCGGAGCATCAGGCCCGTTCGTGACTGTGAGGACAGAGATGCTACTGACCACATGTGTCATGCTTCAAGCGGCCAGGAAAGCGAGTCCAGCAACGACAGTTCAGACAAGGAAGCGGAGGAGATGCAGGTTCCATCCATGGGTGAGGCACCTCAGCTCATGGAGGACATGTGTTCGCCTCCGGCAATTGCTCCCCCGACAGGAGGCGCAGTCCCCAACCGACCCGTCTTCATCGCTTGTGTCTCTTCTGCCACGGCCAAAGAAGGCCCAATCTTACTTGACACTTTGGGCAATGATGTGAGTTTGTTGTGTGCGTTCGCTCGCGCTTCCTTCGTTAAGCAAAAGCCTAGGCCCATTTCGTGATTGCACGCTAGAATGACGCAGGAGGTGTCTCCAGCTCTTGGGAACGACGGCCAGATAGAGATAGACTTTGCCTCGGCTGGAAAGCCTAGGGAGCTTCCTGGCTCAATCAGCACGCAGAGCAGACGTCTAGTTTCGGTTTGCCTTGTCTCCTTGTTGCAGTTGTTGCCGCTCTTTGCCGCTTCACAGTTTGAGGAAACCTCAGGCCTTGGGCGATGCGCCCGGCGCTAAGTTGCTCGATGGGTTTCAATGCTTCCTTTGCTTCACACACCCTGGCCCTTGTGCGAGGAATGCCTGGGTAGTCCGTGCAGCCCATGTCCCAGAAGTTGAGGAGTCACAGGACAGCAGGCCCCAACAAATCCAGTAGGCCCCAGCAGGCAGCGTTGACAATGAACACACAGGGATGCACAGCAAAGCTGCACTCAACCATCTCAGACCCAGAAGGCCGGTTCTCCAAACCTTGGTTCCTTCCGAGTTCTTGTTACATGCTACGCTGTGCTGCGGCCCACTGCTTAGGTGTGCACAAAACGGGCCCTAATTTAATTTTCAAGAGATGACCAAGTGTTGGCTGAAATGGTACATGCTTGCATCACTGTACAGTAACCATCGCCTTACCCACGATGTGCCGTGGCAATCACTTCAAAACGCCAGGTTCGGACATCGCAGTTCTCCATTGCATGTGCTGGCGCATTGTCACCTGAAGGAAGAGCTTCCTGCACGACTGCTCAAGCACCCGATGCTTCGAACTCTGCAAGCTAGTCCTGACACACCCTGAGTTGACGAGTTCAGATGCCCGTCCAACTTCAGCACCGTGCACGAATGACGGGTCGGAGCTAGCAGAAGCAGAAGCAGAGGCTGGACCATCGCAGGCAGAAGTTGACCATTTGACGCAACTGAGCTGTGACCGGTAACTGTGCCTGTTGTCAGTCCATATTCATTCCTGTCTTCACAAATTTTATTGCCGTCATGTGAGGTCCTCTTCTGCGAAGGTGCTGCACATCTCGGCCGACAGCATGAAGGCCCAGTGTTCAGCATGAAGAGTGCACAGCACCAGCTCCTTCCTGTAGGACCCAGATTGGAAGATGAACAACCTTCTGACTGGCCAGCCTGGCCTTCTACGAGCAAGCAGAGCTGAACCTTAGACGCGCCATGTGCTTGCCTAGACACAGGCCCTTTACTGGGCATCTGGCATGCGCAGATCTCCCCTGAGGTCCCGTCTGAGATCAGCCAATACGACCAAGAGAGGTGGCAGAGCACGACATTGTCGAATCCTTCCCGAACACAAAAGAGGACTTCAGTGGACTCTGCACCTTGCGCTTCGGAGCAGGGCACCTGGGCTCGAACCATGTTGAGCCATGTCGAGCCATTTTGAGCCTACAGCAGGAAACATCACATCAATTGGCTTGCTGCGTGGCGGCAAAACATGCCGTGATGGTGAATCAGATTTTGTTCCTGCCTCACTGGCGACGTTTCGGAAGCTTAGGCGCAGGAGGCAATCGAGAAAGAGGCAGAAGACTTGGATCGAGCGGCTGGCGGGAAGTTGACCAAGGTGGGTGTTGCCGACATTCCTTTTCCTGTGGCTAAACGCGCATGCCACGCAGTTCACCACTTGACGCGTTTCCATTTGGAGCCAGGCACAGACAAGGTCGAGATATGGCTGGTGACGAAAAAGGTTTGATGGCCACGAAGCAAGCACAATTACAGAGTGACAAGAGGCTGATGCAACAATTTCTGCTCATGCTGCTTTGGTGAAGAATTCCCACGGCCACTGTGATCTTCATTGTTTTCAATCGGAAGTACGTACATCGAGTCTTGGGCACTTGTGCAATTGTAGGTTTATAGAAAGGTACGCCATGCGGGGCCTACCTTTTCCAGGCTTTCCTGCAAGAGGTCCTCAGGTTTTTAACATTTACTGGGGTCGGGGAACTGGGAAACCAAGGTTGACCGTGTACTCGCGAAACATTCTCTGACAGTCAAGGTACGTCCAACATTCCCCTTTCCTCACATCCTTCTTCTAATCTCATCGCCAGGTAAAGAAAAATTTCGTTCATACAAATCGTGCGTTTCATGCGTCATGAACTCCTGATAAACGCACTTATTGTATTATCTTGTTCGCTCTTCTTGTTCTTACTGAAAGCCCGGGCACAAAAGAATATAATAAGCCTGGTTATAATACTATTAATAATAGCATAATATATTGGGGGTTTTTTAAGGGGCGATGAAGTAAGTAGTATTTAGAAAAGCCCCCCTAAGAAAGATAGAATGCTTCTTGGATGGGTTGTTCCTTGGCAGTCAATGGTGAGTAATTCTTGGTGATAGACGGTTATCTGTTGAATTCCCCGTTCGCTCACATCTTAAGTGCAGTCGTTTCACTCGCTTACAATTCTATTATTAAATCGCTCACTTGTTCTCTTCACACAGTTCATGCACGGTCCATCCGCTCCTTGACACGTACATCCTGTTCACGGTTTACTTCGTTCGGGCGTTCCTTACGTTCACTTCATTCACAGTTTCATTTCGTTCTCAAATTCACTTCTCTCTTCATAATGTAATCATTCACTTGTCGCTCGCTCATTCCTTGTTCGCTGTGCTCACGCGTCTTTTTGCTCTCTTACTATTGTCATGTGGGTTTCGTTCTAATATTACGGCGGGCTTCATGCTTCGCTACGCTCATTATAATTCATCTTTGGAATCTCCGGAACATTAATATCAGTCCTTATAAGAATAGAATTATATTCATCAGAAAATAGATTATATCTCCAGAAACCAGAACTTCTATAATATCAGCATTACATTGCATGGCTTTCTTATGATCTTCTTTCAATATGCTCTCTGCACCTTTATTCCTTGCATTTTACGCCCGTATTATTTTCTTTGCGAATTCTCTTCATAAAGTCTGTGAGCGAAACGATTCATCAAAAGACTTCGCAAAGAAGATTCAATCACTAATTTTAATATGGTTTTCTTCACTCATAGAATCAGAAGGATTCATTAGAAGATAGAAGTGATTGGTTTTCTTCTTATTGTTTTGATGATTAGTAATTCGTGGTTGTTTTCTTTAGTTCGTCCATGATGCCGCCGATTTAGTTCGTTCATTCACTTCCCACAGAATTATAACCCGGGATAAACGCAAAGAAAAGTGAATTAGAATAAAGATGAAGAGTGTATTAATATTGTAGGGTCTTTTTGTATTCTCTTCAAGGGTGAGATGGGATGAATGAACAATGGTGTTAGACGCACACGCAAGAAAAGCCCGTACAATATTAATACTATTCATGGCTCCTGATTCCAAGGTGTTATACGTTTCGTTCACTCTCTCACACAATTACTGCACTTAATTCGTTTCGCTCTTTTCACCTTTATCAACCTAAGCCTTTCCTATGGTTGTCCATTTTTGTCCTAACATCCCCCTAAACAATTCCCCTAACACCCCCCCCGATACCCCCCTCCCTGACACCCCTCCCCTTTACCCCCCCCCCCCCCCCCCCTTACACCCCCCCTTAAACCCCCTTGCGTACTCCGTATACCCCCTTCACCCCCGTTACACACCCCCCCCCCCTACACTCCCTTACGCCCCCCACAAGCAGCCAAAAGGAACGGAAGAGGCGGGGCCTGCGACAGGGCTGCCGCAGAGCGAAAAGGGCCTATGGATCGTCATTCATCAAACCAATTGGTTCCAAATGTAGGACGAAGAGCAACCAAATTCGTGTACTGATGATTCGTATTCTGGAATCAATTGTGAATCCCTCCTTTGAAATATTGATAATCTATAATCTAAGATATGATGATCATGAGGATCAATAATTTCATCATAATGTGCGCAGATATTTCCCAGTCCAATCAATGGTAATCCGAATTATATTTCAATGAGATCAAAAAATATAATATGCTAGAATTATATATCTTTCGTAGGAGATGATGATTGTTATATTCGAATAATAGGTCGGACGCAAATATATTCCATAATTTCATGTGGAAAATCAATGAAACTCCTTCTAATGAATCTTGGAAATTAGATTGATATGGGATTTCCATGAAATGGATCTGATCCAAAAGAGAATTCATCTGATGGAATCCATCACGTTAATCGGAAAAAACGATATAGATGACTAATTGGACTGATTTGTATTTGGTCCATTCGATCAATCTGACTTTTTTTTGTGTTTTTTCGCATCATGAATTGAATAGGTCGAATTCCCCCATGTCAATGGGAATCTAATTTGGATCCATTGAATATCATTCAAGGAACGTCCCAAGATAATTTCGAAATATTCTCTTTGGATGCGTTGATAGATCATCACCGAAGAATTGATATATTCGTATGGAATGTTATACGCCAATATTTTATTCTTTCATATGATAGGAATTATTGGAATAGATGAAATATCATAGGAAAAATTGGATAATCGATCCGAAGTCTTCAATCGTGGAGCGCGCATCACGAAGGAATTCGTCTACGAAAATCCCGAGAGCCAGAGATAGCTATCTTGAGGATATCGACATTCGAATCAGGGATCTTCCAGCCCCCCAATCGTTGAAATTCGGACATTATTCTTCCGCCAATAAATGAAAGATGTATTGAGAGATATCGAATCGAAATCCGGATTTATCGGCCAAAATGGCCTCTTCTTGAAAAATCGTCCAAACAAGTTCAATCTCGCCTCCATATTCTGCTTCGAATTCAAGGGTCAGGGTTGCCGACTCGATCACGATCCATCTCGAATATCTAGCATCGGCTCCAATGAAAATATCGGCTCAATTAGGGAATATCCATATCCCCCCTGACGAGAAACTTCCATTTGCGATGATATACTCAACAATGCGGATATCGCCCCTGAACGCTGACAACGACACAGCCTCTACTCATGATCATGCAACCCTAAACATTGCTAAGCCCCGCCCCAAACCCAAAAACTCTAAACTCCTGAAACCCTAAAACCCTAAACCCCTAAAACCCCTAAAACCCCTAAAACCCTAACACCCTAATATCCTAAAACCCCAAAGCCCTAAACCCCTAAAACCCTAAAGCCCCAACACCCTAAACCCCAAAAACCCTAAAATCCTAAAACCCGAAACCCTAAACCGCAAGCCCTACAAGTATGGTGGGAGTAAGCCCTGAACTGAAACTGTTCGGCAGGTTCGCGCGGTCTGTGGGCGAGTTCCCGTAGCCTCCAAGCCACATCCTTGGCTGACTGCTGAACCCCTCCTAACAGTTTAACTTCTATGCTCTTTTTGTAGGGTTTAGGGTTTAGGGTTGTCTCGGGTTGAGGGCTTAGATTTAGGGTTTAAGGCCTAAGAGCCAGCCAGAAGAAAGCCAAGCGTCTGTGGGTTGGAGGTGCCATCCCAGAGTTCCTCCTCATCCTTGCCTGCAGGGGTAGGGCAAAAATCAAAACAAGGTCAAGCCACGAACCCAAAAACAATCCGAATGAAAACGGTGCAGGAGTGAAACCCCCACGTTAACATCCATTCACGCAGGTGAAACCCCGAAAAAGCCGCCAGGAGCACCCGACAGGAGCCCAGGTGAAACCCCCAACTGCGTGCCGGGAGCCCGACACGAGCCCAGGTGAAACCCCCAACTGCCAGGCGACCCCCAAACTGAGCAGTGAAGGACCTCTAATCTCTCGTGCTTCGGAGGCCTCAGAGAGCAGTGAAGGGCCTCTAATCTCTCGTGCTTCGGAGGCCTCACCCTCTTGTGCTTCGGGGGGGTTATGCCCCATATGACCGCCCCCCAGAAGCCCAAGTGAACTTTCTTCCCGTCTATTCCTTAAACCCTAAACCACTAAACCCTGGACCAGATGGCAGTGCATTGAATGGCATTGTGCTCCGAGCTATGCCGGACTTCCAGGGCAAACTCTCTTCAATGCAGCACCTCAACCTTCCCAAAAAGGGGGCAAGATCCGTCGAACCCAGTCAGGCCTAAACCCTAAGCCCTCAACCCTAAACCCTCCGAGATCACTCCGCAGGGAACAATCGTGGTCTCTCGTGTGTACCAGAAAGCAAAAAGGGCCCCGAGGCGTCCCCATGCCAGTCAGAGAGGAAAGGCAGCGGAGCAGCTCGAAGAGCAGCTCGAGGAGCTCGAGGCGAGAGTTGGGTCGGCTAGGGTTTAAGGTTTAGGGCTTAGGGTTTTGAGTTTGGGTTTTAGGGTTTAGGGTTTTTTCGGGTTTTGGGGTTTGGGGGTTAAGGGTTTAGGGGTTTGGGATTTAGGGAGCTTGGTGCGACTTGCGTCCAAGCAAACTCCTGTGGTAATGGTGCCGATGCCCGGCGCCAGCACTCCCCTCAGCGCTAGAATTGTCCTCGCGTCGCTGTCAGAGGCTCCAGATGCTCTGGAGGATGAGGGCGATGAGGAAGAGGAGGATGCTTGGAGCCCAGCTTGAGGGCGCCCAAACCCTAAACCCTAAACCATGTGTGACATTGTGTAACGCATGTGCAATGAATGCCCAAGGCGCTGCAAGTAAGCCTCAGCTATATAGAAGCTGGTTTTTGAACATGGTGGAAGCTGCAGACCACGCAACTCCCATAGATTAGACCGAGCCCGGAGACCTGGACGAGCTCGATGAAGAGGCCAAGAGGTTTGTTGTTCAGAGATTCTCTCTCTTGCCTTTATCACGGCGCATTGCTCTTGACATCTTTCCAAGCTTCCTCTAAGCTGAGAGATTCTGCAAATGCGCTATCAAAATGCCCCCAACACATCCTTGATATAGATCATGGCACGCGGCATCGCCCGCAAGAATTGGCTGTCAGAGTTATTGCAGGCTGCCCGCAACAAACAGTGTTGCCAGCACTATGTCGCTTTTGTTGTTTTCGCGCCTTCTGCCCGGCCTGGGTGTAGCCGCGGCCGCATTCTCGCAGATTGCGCCGATGGAAGATGCAGCTTTGAAGTATGGGCTGGGAGTGGACAGCGAATGCGGAGACAAGGGACGGCAAGAGTGTTCTACCAGCGCACTTCAGAGAAAGGCGGTGGAACTCTCGGAGGATGTGCTCCAGACAAAGGTTGTCTCCCACCTCAAAGACTGCAATGCCATGAACCATCCGACCGAAGCACGCATCTACCCAGAAGCACCCGACCTGGTCTACGTCACCAAGCGTGGTTGGGTGGGTTGCACGCCGCAGCTTTGCCCACAGGGTGGCGAGCAGGGGTCTTCAGTTGCAGCTGGACTGGCTGTAGTGAACGTCTCCGATCCACGAGCCCCAGCCATTGTTCACCTTTGGCATTCGAGCGAGGCAGTGGAAGGCCAAGACCGTCTCGGGGATCTTCTCGTCGTTGCTTCTCTTGCTAAAGGAGGTGTGTATACATTCGATGTGCAGCAATCCTCACATCCACGCCTGCTGGCTTTCGCGGATATCCCAGATGCTCCCTCAACGCTGCATGTGAAGTTGCAGAAGGCCAAGGGCAAGATCTATGCGTTTCTCAGCCAAGGTTGGTGCGACGATCCGCAGCTGATGGGGTGCGACCGCTATGGCTTCAGCAGGGTTCATTCTGTAGATGTTACTGACCCAGCTATGCCTATGCCCGTGGGCACAGTACACACAGGGGTGCATGCACCAGAGTCCATCACAGTCAATGGGAACTTTCTTTATGTCGGTGGCATTGAGTCTCAGACATTTGCCGTAGTAAATATAACAGATGCATCTCGCATGCACGTGGTTTGCCATGCCAACGAGTGCGCTACAATGACAGCCAGCTACTACAACCAGATGGTTGGGGACTACTTACACACTGGTTCCGACGGCTCTTTCAATGCTGCTCACGGAGACACGCCTGCACTTTGGGTAGCTGCTTTGTGGGGGCACCCAGGGGGCGTGGCCGTTTTCAACGTCAGCCAGCCTGCTTTCCCCAAGCAAGTTGGGCTTCTCCTGCACAAGAAGATGAGCAGAGCCAACCGCATCCACATACACTATGGCAAGGCAGTAGTGCCCCTTGAACAAGACCCCGCCGGTGGTTTCGCTGTTGTTGATGTTGCCAATCCATTGATGCCACGACTGTTGGGCACGATGTTTTTACCCTCGCAGGACACCCGTGTCTATGCCTTGGTTGTGAAGGACAACATTGTGGTCCTCTTTGTCGCGCGGACCTGCGAGATGTATGCAATTGAGACACAGGGGCTGGGCCAGTGAGCAACATTCCTTGACTTACTGCTGGGACGGGAATAAGATACCATATATCCCCTATATGTACCCTTTAATTAAGGGATGATATACAGTACCTTATTCCAGCATTCCCTACTAACCAACAGAAATTCGACGTCTTCTGGCATCAACAAGAAAAGCTTGGACCGGGGTACTGCAGGCTTTGTTTTTCTGCAGATTCATTGTAGGGGTTTAGGGGTTTAGGGTTTAGGGTTTGTCAATGTTAAGCACATACAGGAATGGAATTGAGCTCAGGAGAAGGAGCTGGAAGCCCAGCTGAAAGCGCTGCAGGCCCAAGGCGGTGAGGACCCACTTACCCAATCGTCCCTAGGTAGGCCCTTTATATGTTCCCTTATTTGGGAAACCCTAAACCCTAAACCCCCAAGGCCTGAAACTTAGAAACGTCTCCTCTGAACTGCTCACCTGCTAACAGGTGCAACTTACATTTGCCCAAGTCGAAATGGAGACCATATGTGCAGGAAAGCGCGGTTTCAGTTCTGAAAGCTGCCAGAACGTCAGCAACATCACCACCTGAATAAGCGTCATCGGCAAAGGCGACTTCAAACTCGGGCGGCGGTCGAGCAGACGCAACCCTGGCTTCCTCGAACATACGACGACTCGTCAATCCAAACATTGGGCCCATGAGCGGACACCCCTGCTGTCCTCTATGACCCCCCTCGTACATCAAATTAGTGCTGGTGCCATAGCAGAAATGAGCAAATCTGGCAAATGCTGGAGCATGGTTGCGACAATCAGCTAAGAACTGACGAGGTTGGACTTCGTTAAACGCGTTACGAATATCTTTTTGCAGAATGACAGCGTTAGGCACTGCACCATGAGCAGTCACCCATGCGCGCGGCGTGAACAAGAATATCAGCCCCATTACGAGTACGAGCAAGCTGCTGATCTCCCATTCTACGCTGCGCGGCATCGGCTGTCGGCGTGCAGAGAGGTTCTGACACGACGGGCTCGTGCGTGTCTAGTGAGTGGGGTTTTTGGGGGTCTTGTTCGCCTGTCCTCAAAGCTATCCTTGCCGCAGGGAATCTGGGCCCAGCCTCCTGTTAGCCACCATATGGAATCTTGCCCATGGCGATCTATGGAATCACGCTTTGGGGTTAATTGCGACAGGCTTGCGAGTGTGTCAGCAGCATTGGGGCACTCCCATGGTGCCGTATCCTCACATTTGCCTTGCTGGGTCCCGGTGTTTGGCGGTTTTGTAGCTGGCCGCTCATGGTCGTGAAGAAGAGGTCATTGGCAAAGTCGGGAGTTTGTTCAGCTGTTGGCCAATGGTGAGGCCCCAACTTACCTTCAACCTTTTTTCGGGGAGGTCGCTTGGTGGGAGTTGGAAAAAAGGATGCCTCAGGGGTTCCCATTGGTCTTGAAGCTGATGCTCGGCCTATTGTTCTTGGGCTCACTTGGAGAAAGATCGTTTTCAAGGCCACCTTCAATCTTGATAAGCCCGAAATCCAGCTGCATAAGTGGTGCAAATAGAACAAACTATTCTTACGTGTCCAATCCTGGCGTGGTAGTTTCGGGGCCCGTCCTACAAGAAGCGGTCCACGACATCCCTCAAACAAATGGGGCTGCTGGATGAGGCTACAACAGCAACACTATACTTACTATACGCCATATCCCCAGAATTAGCAGCCAGCAAGACCAACCGGCGGCTAGCAGCATCAGCAGCACGCCCAGCGACAGACTGCACGTCAGCCCGCACGCGGGGGAACAGGCACCATGGCTCACATATGGAACTCTCTCTTCCCTATCAAATGGTCACCGATATAGGCACGAAGAAAAACAAGGATCTCGGCGTTAACTATTTGATAGATGATAATACGAAATATCTCGTCCATGGGTTCCTCATTAGGATTCTGGTCCAAGAATTCCCTCAAGAAATTTTTTCGATTGTCAATCGGGCCGGACGTTACTCCCTAGGAGTAAGTATCGAAATGATGTCTTGGAAATCAAGCGTTTAGTCGAGAGTGATTTGGCAAGAGCTTCAAAAATCAGATTAATTAGAATTTTGTTCAAATTAATCGATG